GAAGACAATTGTAAGTATGCTCTCTTTTTTACCTTCTCAATGTAATTAATCACACAGAAATGACGTTGACATATTGTAATACCCATTAATCCCACCATTCTCACACAATATTTTCTTAGCTCTTCCTACTGCATATATTCTCTCTACGCCTCCCCTCCATATTCTTTGATTATATACTACGATATAGCCACTACACTAATTATAATTATAATTATTCTACGTTTCTTGTTATTATTATTATTTATATGTTTATTGTTTTTTTTTTCTTTGTTTTTTTCTTGGTATTTTTTTTTCAGGCAGTCTTTCATAGTATCAATAAAGTAAATAGTTGCATTCACCTTTATATATATATATAGTTAAATAGATATAATATTTGATTCTAGAAGGTAGTATCTTTTACAATATAACTACTTTTTAGTTTACTTTTATTCTTACATATATATATATATATATATAAGAGGATATACACCTATCTCTCTATCAGGTTATACAACTTAACATATTCATGCCGCTGTTTTGCATATATTGCTTTTTAATATTACTATTATTATTTTGACAATATCATTTTTTCTTTAAGGTCTCTATAAATCATCTATTTCCTTCCATTTTCATTTTTTAATTTTTTTTGATTAAGATTGATGATAAATAGAATCTATAGGTATATACATCTATACCTACACCGATGCCTTGCAAAAATTAATCCTAGATTAGTTAGAAATATATTTTTTGCTACAATATTATTACAATTAATATTATCTTTAGTCTATTGGTCTTTATATAATAGTTCAGAAACTAAAGATTCGATACCGGGATTATTATCATCCGCATCCATTGCATATTATTGGTCTGGTAGTGAATCTTCCAATGATTTAAATTCTAATAAACCTTATGTTAATCCTAAAACTTTAGATCCTGATTATGAATATTTTAAAATCGATCCTATTATACAACAACAACAAAATATTATTAAATATAATAATAATAATGATCAAGATGCAGACGAACTAGAAGAGAATGACGAACATATTGCGGATTCATCATCTTCATGGTGGGATTATATACCTGCATTGATTTATGATAATTCAAATAACGAAGAACAAGGATCTCGTCTATTAAGATTATATAAATTGTATGAAAAGATGAAGTTTAATACAAAACCAATGTGGATTGATGAATATACTCTAGAAAATTTCTTGACGATCCCTGTTGGTGCGGACAAAGGTTCAAGAGTAGAATCAATTGACGATCTGGAACTTTACGATTTCGACCCAAGATTGACTTGGTCTGTCTATTTGGATCATATGATGAGAAACGCCGATGATACTAGTTCTTTGAAATTACCATTTTCATGGTATGACTGGACTGATTTCCATGAACTAAATAAATTGATCGCTTTGAAAGAAACTAAATTAAGTTGTAATTTCTTCTTTGAAGGTGCCTTTGATAAAGAAACATTAGATATTATTGAAAACGAAATTGGTGAACCGTTATTTAGAAATGAAAGAGATAAATACTCTTTAAATAGATGGTACCTTTTCTCTAGGAAATTATCTACACGTCATATCTTTAGTGTCATCTCTAATCATTGTTCAAATATGGGTATTAAAGATGGCAAGATTGTGAAACCAAAATTCTCTACAGGTTTAAATATTACTTTGTTATTCGATAGAGTGCGTACTGAGGTGTTCCAATTACAAACAAGAAACGCTCTATTGACCTCCGAACGTAATCCATTATCCCTGACAATGGTTTCCGATGATGGTGAATCGTTCCAAATCGAAGTCGAACAGAATGAAAGAGCCAATGTGATAGAGTCTCGTTTGATGCATGATTTTATTGGGTTGCAAGATACTTCCAAGTATGATGATAACGAAGAAGATATGGAATATGCTGATCTTAATTCACAGTTAGATCCTCGAGGGATTGTTTTCGACCATGAAAGAATATGGCATAATTTCTTAACTAATGATACTGCTAAAGATAAATATAAACTCAAAATAAAGGAAACCGATCCAGAAATCTTTAAACACGATTATATCCATTTAAAACCTGAAGATTTTGAGTTTGATGCCCATGCTAAAATTGAGGAATTAGAGGCAATTCCGAAGGAGGAAATTTCTGCTCATAATTTACATTATTTGAACAGTTTGAAAACTTCTGTTAGAACACATCCTGCTTGGCTCCTAAATATTTCTCAGAACCTGGTAATATCCAACAATTCAAGGGGATGGGTCATCACAGAGATAAGAGATTCTTTAATGGTGATGATTTGATCGATAGTCATCAGGAATATTTCAATAGATTAAATGCCATGATTAGAACTTTCCAAAAATTCACTTATAATAATGGTATCTTATCATGGTTAGGTCATGGTACCCTGTACGGTTACATCTACAACGCCCAAACTTTCCCATGGGATAATGATTTTGATTTACAATTGCCGATTGCTCATTTGAACTATTTGGCTCAATATTTCAATCAAAGTTTGATTCTTGAAGACCCACGTTATGGTAATGGTCGTTATTTGGTCGATGTTGGCGATTCTATCACTGTAAGAAATAATGGTAATGGTAAGAATAATATTGACGCCAGATTCATCGACGTGGATACTGGTCTATATATTGATTTGACAGGGTTAAGTATCTCTGATGACGTTGCTAAGGATTCTATGAGATCCTATTTGGAAGAACAGGCCAAGAAATCCAACTACACTTACGATAGAGTGTTAAAAAATATATTACCAAATCCGCTTGATAAATTTAAAGAAGAAAATAATAATTTGGCTAGATTGAACATTACTCAATTGCAAACCTACGTGAAGGACCATGAAAGTGATTTTGGAAATGATGCAAAGGATGCAGTTAAGAAGTTGGTAAAGCAAGAAACGGAAGAGTTGATCAAATCAAAAAAATTAGAAAGAGGTTTAAACAGCGCAGAAAGATACGAAACGCATAAGAAATTCCAAGTTTATAACTGTAGAAATGATCATTTTGTCAGTTTACAAATTATTTCACCTCTAGTTAACACCATGTATCACGGTATTCCAACTTTGATTCCAACAAAGTATATCACTGCATTGCAACACGAATATAGTGTTCCCAAGCCGTACGGTTATTCCACTTTCCAAGGTAAGACCTATTTGCCTGATCTAAGATACTGGGTGAAAAGTAAAATAGTAGAGAAATGTTCAAACTTGAAGGGCTGGTATCCAGATGAAATATACACTCCATTAGAGAAAACAAAGACACTTAATGACATCGACTTCAATGATATATGGACAATACTAATGAATATCAAAGGTAGCAAAGAATTCAAAGATGGTAACATCGATCTTTTGGCTAACATTTACAATTCATTTACTTCAACTTCTTATAGATTACGTGAATTGGAAATCCAATATGCTCAAAATATCTCTATCTCAATGAAGAGAGAATATTTAAGCTTGTTAAGAAGTGAGGTTTCTCCAAATCTACTTTCACCCGGTAAGGACCCAGTTATCTATCTTCATGAAAGAACTCTTTACGAACAATTAAGTAAAGAATTCAATCAAACTCTAATCGATAAAATCGAGAGTGCGGTTCAGGATAAATATATTAGAAAGTACTGGAGGTCACTAAACGACCTAAAGTATAAGAAACTTGACCTTTTCAACGTGACTTTACCAGAGGAATCCTCAATTAAATCGGACAATGAAACGTACATCAATTTCAATAAACTGAATACCCCTGACTATTTCAATGATCCAAACAAGAAACCAAATTCTCTATTTGCAAAGGATCCAGTTTTGGAGATGTAACATGATTACAGTAACATGAACTTATGACCAACAAAAACTTATAAAACACACACAAACAAACATTTACCATTAAAAGTAAACTTATAAATCAATGGCATTTTTTAAGTAGGTAGGAGTAGGCTAGCACCATTTGTATATTATAGTCTCTATTTCTTCCTGCTTATTTTTTTTCGAAAAATTTGTATACCCTTCCATAGCTTGCACAATCCATCACATAATAATAAATAATTTAATGCAAACTACTTATATATTTCATTAATAATTAATGATTATCTTTTTATTTTACTCGCAGAAGACTGTAAAGCGACAATTGATAACCACAACTTAGGAAATATACCGTTTCAGAAATTTGGTGCTAAATATTTTTACCCGCATCGTGAAATTTAATTAACAAATCATATATGTAAACTAATAAGACTTGAGTGGCTCATATATAACAGATTAACGGGATTAGTTTGAACTACATAAAACACTGATCATCCATTGATTTATCTTAGTAATTTTACTATAGATCACCCAATTCTTCATCTATAAACCATGCTTTCTTTAAGGAGGAAGGTGGACCCAAAAAATGTACGAGTCAGAAAGAAACTGATCAATTCACACTCTGCCTCCGAAGATAACATGTCTCTTTCGTCAGCTCCTGTAAATTCTACAGGGACGAGTTCTAGTGATCCAAGAAGGATTGCATCCATTAATGCACAAGACAATAAACTTTTTTCCGAAACAGATAACTCATTCTCTGATTTTGATAGCACCTATTCAATTTTTAATTCTATATTCGACAGACTGAAAAGCCCAGACCCACAAGACCGATCGAATGCCACTAAAGAACTAAAGGAATCCCTAATTTCTATTTCAAGGGATTTATCAGTTGAACAATTCCAAAGATTCAGTAATATCATCAACAACAAAATATTTGAACTGCTCCATGGTGCAACAACTGAGGAAAAAATTGGTGGTATCACCGCCGTAGATACTCTTATTGCATTCTACTTACACATCGAAGAGCTTCCAAACCAAACGGCTAGATTGGCAAATTACCTTCGAATGGTTCTACCGTCTAATGATATGGGTGTGATGCGTTTGGCAGCCTCAACACTAGGTAAGCTAGCTGTACCTGGAGGTGGTACAATCACATCTGAGTTTGTTGAAAGTGAGGTTAAAAATTCTCTGGAATGGTTAACATCAGTACCAGAAAATAACACAAATTCTAAACTAGAATATAAAAAGCATGCAGCATTACTTATTTTAACAGGGCTGGCAGATAATTCACCTTACCTCTTATACCCATTTATTGATGACATATTGGAAAACATTTTAAATGCTGTCCGAGATAACAAAATCGTTATCAGAGAGGACACAGCCAAGTTACTAGGGAAATGTCTAATTGTGCTGCGAACCAGAAATAATTCACATGAAAATGAGAAATGGGTAGAGAGATTATTCAAAGAATGCGACTCAGGGTTTACTTTTGGTGGAATTGAATATGTACATTCGAGTTTATTAATATATCATGAACTTTTGTCATCTGATAATAATAGACTTATTAAGAATAAAATAAATGAAATGTTTAAAAATTGCATGCACTGGAGAGAACACAAATCTGAAGTTGTGAGGCAAGAAGTTTACAGGGTGTTCCCATTATTTTCCAAGTTTAATCGCAAAATTTTTATATCAAAATATATGGATCCAATTGTAAAGTACTGCCTTAAAGCATTAAAGTCGATGAGGGTTAATTTTATGAATATTGGCGATCGTGGTGCGGTACTAATGGCCCTGGGTGATGTCGCTTTTGAAACAGGGCATAATATAACTCCATACCTAGATGAGATAATCTATAATATAACAGATGGACTTAAAATGAAATACAAGATCCGGAGGCCATTTGAGGAAGATTTGTTCTACTGTGTTCAGAAATTGTCTATTGCTATTGGTCCAGCTCTACTCAAGTACCTAAACAAGGATATCTTAAATCTTATGTTACAGTGCTACCCCACACAATATATGCAAGATACACTAGCAACAATAATAAGCAAAACTCCTTCTGCTGAAAAAGGAATAGACGATCATCTCTGTGCGTCACTATCCAAGACACTCTATGGTGGTAGATTTTACTCATCAGGACCCCGTACAAGTACCAAACCTGTAAATATCAAGGAAGCAAGAAAATATAGAAACAGATTATACTTTAATGCAAATAGGGAGAGTAATAGTGATGAGAATGACTGCAAAGTATTAGTACAATCATTAAAAATGTTGAAAGATATATCTGGTACAACATCTATAAAAAAATTAACTAGCCTGGTTATCATTGATTATACTGCCCATGAAGACCCCGAAGTTAGAAAACTCGCAGCTTTAATATCTTGCAAGGTGTTTTCTATGACTGATAATTACACCCCTGATACTAACGAAGAATCTGAACTAACAGCAGAAATATTAAGCAAACTACTAAGTCTTGCTATTACGGATCCAGTCGATGAAATTAGACTTGATATTTTACAAAATTTGAATAAAAACTTTGTTCATCACTTAGCACAACCAGATAACCTAAGACTTATTTTTATAACTCTTCATGATCAATATTTCCCAATTCAAAAAGAAGCAATAAAACTAATAGGCACGCTGAGTGGGAGTAATGCCTCTTCAGTTATTCCATTTCTTCAGAAGACGATGTTAGGGTATCTATCCATGTTAAGACACACACACATAACAAGAAAGAAGGAAGAGACTGTAATTTTATTAGATTTACTGATTGTTACGAGCCCCACTACCTGTCACCCATATTTAATTGAGGTATTGGAGGTGTTATTACTAAAAGTCCAAGACCCTTCAACATCAGTGGTGTGTACCTCTTTAGATGTAATTGGTGACTTAACAATTGCTGTTGGAACAGAAATGAGAGGTCACGTTGATAAAGTAATGCCTATTATTATAACTGTTCTGCACGACCAATCAAACAGTATGAAGAGAGAGGCTGCTTTAAGAACTCTTGGGAAAATGTCAAGTGCGTCTGGATATGTCATCGAACCGTACCTTGACTATCGTAATCTATTAGGTGAATTAATGAGTATTCTAAAAACAGATTCCTCAACGGGAGTCAGAACAGAGGCACTCAGAGTACTTGGTATATTAGGTGCATTAGACCCTTATAAACACAGGGCAGCCGAATTTATCACCAATTCCAAGGCACCAATAGAACAAAATGCGCCTCCTATCGAAATTGCTCTTTTAATGAAAGGTATGTCTCAATCAAATGAGGAATATTATCCTAGAGTTGCTATTACACGATTAACGAAAATTTTGAATGATTCGACGTTGTCAACACATTACACGACCTCTACACAAGCTATAATTCATATATTACAACTGTTAGGAACACGTTCAACCGTATTTTTAGACCAAGTGATGCCAAGTATTCTATCTGTTATGAAAACATGTCCTCCATCGCTACTTGACTTTTATTTCCAACAACTCAGTTCGCTTATAACGTTGGCAAAACAAGAAATTGTTCCCTATGTTGAGGAAGTATTCACTACAATCTTTGAATTTTTCCCTATTATAAAACTTCAGAGTACAATAATATCTTTAATTGAAGTGTTATCTACGACTATAAGAAGTGAACTGAAGCAGTATATGCCATTAATTTTAACTCATTTTTTGAATGTTCTAGAGCACGATAGTTCGGTGAAAAAAACTGTATCTATAAAAATTTTAAAATGTCTTGTGGCGTTTGAAACAAACCTAGAGGAATACGTTCATTTTATTATACCTAAATTGATATACCTTGCCGAATATTCTATTGAATCTCTCAGAAAAAGTGCTATCTTTACTATCGGTAAGCTAGCAAGGATAATTGATCTTTCCGAAATGTCATCAACTATACTGCATACTCTTGTAAGAATTTTAACCTCCGATGAGAAAGACTTGATTAAAGCTACCATGAATACAATTTGTTTCCTACTACTTCAGATGGATCATGATTTTATTGTGTTTATACCAATAATTAACAAAACTCTGATCAAGAAAAAAATTCAGCATTCAATTTACGATCAACTTATTAGCCGACTATTAAATAACGAAAGTCTTCCAGTAAATGCTACTGATAAAATACCCGGAATTCAGAATAAAACTGATGAACCGGACACTCCACCACTACGAAATCTAACTGTAAATGAAGAAAATTTGAAAGTATCTTGGGACTGCAGCCAACAGAGAACAAGAGATGATTGGCAAGAATGGTTTAGAAGATTATCTATTCAGTTATTGAAAGAATCCCCGTCACAAGCACTTCGTGCATGTTCTAATTTAGTAAGTGCCTATTATCCATTAGCAAGAGATTTATTCAATGTGTCATTTGCTAGTTGTTGGAGAGAATTGGGCTCTACGTACAGGGACGACTTCATGAAATCCCTGAACAAGGCTCTATCTTCCCTTCAGACTCCACCCGAAATATATCAAACTTTACTGAATGTTGTGGAATTTATGGAGCATGACTCAAACATGTTACCACTAACATCTGAGACCTTAGGTAAATACGCACAAAAATGTCACGCTTTTGCCAAAGCTCTCTATTATGAGGAACAAGAGCTTACCGAAAATGCCAATAGCTCCACTATTGAATCTCTCATAAGTATTAATAATCAACTTCATCAAACAGATGCTTCAATAGGTATTCTAAAGTATGCGGAACAACATCATGATATGCAATTGAAAGAGACGTGGTATGAAAAATTGCAACGTTGGGAAGATGCTTTAAATTCCTACAACGAAAGAATAAAAGAGGGCGACACATCGTCCCCAGTAATGCTTGGTAAAATGAGATCATTATATGCGCTCGGAGAATGGACCGAATTACTCGATCTAACGAAGGAAAAATGGAGTTCTGTCACTCATGAAACACGCCAAAATATTGCTCCATTGACAGCTGGTGCTGTCTGGAACCTAGGCTATTGGGATATGATGGAACAATATGTCAATCATATCACACCAAACACATTTGAAAGAGAATACTTCGACGCTATTTTTTCTTTGCATAGAAATAACTTCCACAAATCAACAGACCATATTGATAATGCCCGTAATTTGCTCATGACAGACATGTCATCTTCTTTAAACGAGAGTTACAGCAGAACGTATGGATTTGTAATTCGCTTACAAATACTTTCTGAGCTCGAAGAAATAATTACATATAAAAAGTTACCATTCGACTCAACTAAGAAGCCGGATATGAAGGATACGTGGAATAAGAGGTTAATAGGTGTCCAGAAAAATGTAGATGTCTGGCAGCAGGCTTTATTAATCCGTTCCCTTGTTGTGAAACCAAAAGACGATATCAACAGTTGGGTAAAATTTGCTAATTTGTGTAGAAAATCAAACAGAATGGGAATGGCTAAAACTGTATTAAATATGCTTGTAGATAATTTAGATGATCCAGATCAACCGTACGCTGTGGTAGCACCCCCCCCTGTAGTGTACGCACAGTTGAAGTATCTCTGGGCTGATGGGTCCGAAAAGGATGCATTAAGCCACCTGATAACATTTACATCCAGAATGACAATGGATCTGGGATTAGATCCTACAAATATGATTCGTGAACGCGTAGTGGAAAAGAGCAATACCTCACCAGAAAATGTAACTGCTTATACAAAATTATTATCAAGATGTTTCCTAAAACAAGGAGAATGGCGTGCTGCTCTAGAACCAAATTGGCGCCTTGTTGATCCAGACTCTATCTTAGGCTCATATCTATTAGCAACCCATTTTGACAAATCTTCTTATAAGGCATGGCATAACTGGGCGCTTGCTAACTTCGAGGTTATATCTGTGTCAAGGTCAAAGAAGGTAGAAGTTTCTAATGACGAACAAGGATCCATTGATACCAATAAAGACGTATTGGTAGATGATAAAAACCAATCAAGAATGGACCTAATAGGTTCCTCAACTTTTACCGAAATCGACGAAAATGATTACCCTGCTGAATTAATTCAACGTCATGTTGTCCCTGCTATGAAGGGATTTTTTCATTCCATAGCATTATCAGGAGTAAATTCTATCCAAGATGCTTTAAGATTACTAACGTTATGGTTTAAATTTGGTGGACTCCCAGAAGCTACACAGGCAATGCATGAGGGGTTTACGTTAATTAATATAGGTACATGGCTCGAGGTCTTACCACAACTAATATCACGTATTCACCAAGAAAATATAATTGTGAGTAGGTCACTATTATCGTTACTCTCGAATCTTGGGAAAGTTCACCCTCAAGAGCTTGTATATCCGTTGACTGTTGCAATTAAATCCGAGTCAGTTTCTAGACAAAAGGCAGCTCTCTCTATAGTTGAAAATATGAGAATGCACAGTTCAGAATTAGTGGATCAAGCCGAACTAGTTAGTCACGAATTAATTCGTATAGCTGTCTTATGGCATGAATTGTGGTATGAAGGTTTGGAAAACGCAAGCCGACAATATTTTGGTGAACATAATATCGAGAAAATGTTTGCTACGTTAGAACCACTACACGAATTACTACAGGCTGGCCCTGAAACCCTTCGTGAAATATCATTCCAGAACCATTTTGGTAGAGATCTGGGAAATGCTTATAAATGGGTAGAAAAATACAAAGTTTCCAACGATCTAAGCAATTTGAATCAAGCATGGGATATTTACTATAACGTGTTTAGAAAGATCAGTAAATTAGTTCCTGAACTGGAGACGCTAGAGTTACAACACGTTTCTCCTAAACTATTAAAGGCCAGGAACATGAAATTAAGTGTGCCAGGTACATACCGGATAGGTGAAGAAGTCATTACAATTTCTCATTTTAAACCTGTTTTTCCAGTAATTTCGTCAAAACAAAGACCTCGTAAGATATCAATTAAGGGTACTAACGGAAGAGATTACCAATATGCTCTAAAAGGTCATGAAGATATTAGACAAGATAGTTTAGTGATGCAATTATTTGGTCTTGTGAATTCGTTATTACAAAATGATCCTGAGTGTTTTAGAAGGCATTTAGATATCCAACAATTTCCTGCGATTCCTTTATCTCCGAAGTCAGGTATTTTAGGCTGGGTACCAAATAGCGATACTTTCCATGTGTTAATCAGAGATCATAGAGAAACAAACAAGGTTCCATTGAACATTGAACATTGGGTAATGTTACAGATGGCTCCTGATTATGACATACTAACGCTGCTACAGAAGGTCGAGGTGTTTGAATATGCTATGGATAACACTGAGGGCAATGATTTGGCAGATGTGTTATGGTTGAAAAGCAGATCATCGGAGTCCTGGTTGGAACGTCGTACTACATACACTAGATCTTTAGCTGTTATGTCAATTGTTGGATACATTCTTGGTCTGGGTGACCGTCATCCAAGTAATCTTTTACTAGATAAGTATACAGGTAAAGTAGTCCATATTGATTTTGGTGATTGTTTTGAAGCAGCTATACTGAGAGATAAATTTCCAGAAAAGGTTCCTTTTAGATTAACAAGGATGCTTACAAATGCGATGGAAGTTAGTGGTGTAGAAGGTAGTTTTAGAATTACTTGCGAAAATATAATGAGGGTGCTGAGAGATAACAAAGAGTCATTAATGGCTATTCTAGAGGCTTTCGCCTTTGATCCTCTGATTCATTGGGGCTTTGATATATCTCGTGAAAAAATCATGGAAATGACAGGTATTGAGCTTCCGGACACTAACTTAAACGATTTATTAAGAAAAGGTGCTATAACCCAAGAAGAATTTACAAAAATGGAGGAGCAGCAAGATAATGAAATGAGAAATGCTAGATCTGTACTTGTTTTGAGAAGAATAACAGCAAAATTAGTCGGTAACGATATGGGGCCTGGGGCCCAATTAGATGTACCTGAGCAAGTTGATAAGTTAATTCAGCAAGCAACATCAATAGAAAATCTATGCCAACATTATATCGGCTGGTGTCCATTCTGGTAGGTAAAAACTTATATATAGATATTTATGTTCAGTCAATTATATACTTATTCGAAAATTAACGATATCTCAAACCTACTACTGTTTTTAATCTTTTACGTTTCTATAGGCTTCGATTCGCGTAACGCGAGGCTACTTTTAAGAGAAAACAAATCTTCGAAACACCAAAATTTTTCAATGAACAGTTCTATATTTATGAATATTTTATTTAAGAAAAACAAACTCATAGGCTATTAAGATAAATTATCAGAGATTACCTAGGTCAATATATATATATTATCAATGTCAAAATTGCAGGAGTTAGAAAACAATAAAAGGAGAAAGTTATCCAGCGCTGCCGATCAAGAGCATTCTCAACCATGGGTTGAAAAATACAGACCAAGAAAGTTGGATGATGTTGCAGCTCAGGATCACGCTGTTACCGTCCTAAAGAAAACATTACAATCAGCAAATTTACCTCATATGTTATTTTATGGACCCCCAGGTACAGGTAAGACATCTACAATATTGGCACTAACAAAGGAGTTATTTGGCCCAAGTCTAGTAAAATCAAGAGTGTTGGAGCTGAATGCCTCAGATGAACGTGGTATCTCTATTGTCAGAGAGAAAGTGAAGAATTTTGCTCGTTTAACCGTGTCTAAACCATCAAATGAGGACCTAGAAAATTATCCTTGCCCTCCTTATAAAATTATTATTCTAGATGAAGCTGACTCTATGACAGCAGATGCACAAAGTGCTCTACGTAGAACAATGGAAACATATTCAGGTGTTACAAGATTTTGTTTGATATGTAATTATATTACTAGGATTATTGATCCATTGGCTTCAAGATGTTCCAAATTCAGATTTAAATCGTTAGATGCCTCTAATGCATTAAGTAGGCTATCATATGTTGCAGATCAGGAATCCGTTACTTATGAAGAAGGTAGTTTGGAGAAGATCTTAGACATATCGGCTGGTGATTTGAGAAAAGCCATAACATTATTACAATCTGCATCGAAGTTAAGCAATTACAACGATAACAATAAGATAACTCCTGGGCAATTGGAGGAATTGGCCGGCATAGTACCAACTCCTATACTAAAGGAAATAGTTGAAAAGGTAGCCAGCAAAGATGTGAATAGTATCGTACAATATGTTAGTGATTTCTGTAAGGACGGATGGTCCGGCGCTTCTGTGATCAATCAATTGCATGAACATTACATTACTAACGATATGTTCGATACTAACTTTAAAAACCAAGTTTCAATGATTCTGTTTGATACTGATTCTAAATTAACAAATGGTACAAATGAACGTATTCAATTGTTGAACGCACTTATTAAAATTTCTCAAGTATAACCACTTATAAAATCTTCTGCTAATTGTATATATTTTATATATAACCAACAATACACCAACTTTAATCAAGAGAGAAATGCGATTTCTGTAGGTTAAAATGATTGTCTATACTGTTCGGCGAACAAAAGAAATAGTAAAAAAAAGGATCAATGTAGTTAAATAAATAAATTATATGACTTATATATGCCGTTGTAACCAGATGTATTTATGGTTAAATAATATGCATCGCGATTGGTTAAACCAAAATAATGAATACATGGATATCAAGGGTTATGCAGAATTTTTTTGAATAGAGGAAATATTCAAGATATTAAGTTAAAGAAGACAGGGGAGGAAGATTTATTATTGAATATGATATGCTTAAGATAATGTCAATTTCTCGATAAGAGACACGTAATACTTTTCAAATGCTTTTTGGTCCAGAGTAACAAGTACTTCTATCAATTCCATTATTAGCTGGTTTGGAAATTGGATTTGAGGTAGATATATTTCAGAAAGGTATTTCAAACATGGATTTGAGTTCATGTCTGTAACTTCATAGTTACTTTGGACATATAGTTCTTTTAACAGACGTGATAAATCAGATGCCATGACTCTATAGCTACCTTCTTTTATATTAAATTTATATTCAGGTCTAAATGGAATTTCAAAGACCAATGGCACAGCCTTCGTTATCAAAAATTCATTAAGACCTTCTATTCTATTTGTATTAGCCGCGTGGATGTCATTAGGATCTGTACATTTACCAGAGCCGAAATATTTCACAAAATTGAACAAGACATTAAATGCTAACTTCATTGCTGATGTTTCCTGCACATCTTCCGGTGTGTAAGTCAGTAAGTCTGTCAAAATTAACGAAAGCGTGTTAAAATTTTTCTCCGATAATAGTAGCGAAGTGACAGAATTAGTAATAAATGATTGCAAGAACGAATAATAAGCTTTTTTCAATAGTACTTTATCTCTAAACGTGTCAGTAATAACAATATTTTTACCAGGATTGTTTTCGACAAGCCCAGGATTTGTATTATGTTCTTGTTCTATCTGAGAGAGTAAAGAATGTATTTTCTCAATAGTGGGAGTTAACAGATCATTATAAAGTTGATAACAACCTTCATCCTTGTGAAACATGTGGACCATTTGACCCAGGAAACCTAAGAAATCATTCATCTCTAGCACTTTAAGGTCAGATTCGAGAAATAGTGCAATCAATTTATTTGTAAAAGGAATGATTCCACTGTTTAATATTGGAATCAATCTCGAGAAAGTGAACCTTGAGGCATCTCTAATATTTTCAAACTTGTTGAAGAAAGAAAATGTAACTAGTACAACCTCTGCTATATTTGAAAATTTTTCGATTAAGGATTTAGTAATTAATTTTTTGTTGACCAAGACGTTATTAACTTGATTTTCTGGGACTAACCCACCTTGAACACCTCTTGCTAAAGTCCCAATAGCCATCAAAATATGATGACATTGAAGTATAACTTCTGGAGTTTGGATCTGGGAAGAAATACAAGTCTCTAAATCCTTAAATAGAGGAGTAAGTACGTTATCCAAAATATCATAATTTTGATCTGAGTTTGCTCCAATTAATAAACCAATACCTTCAAAAAGATACATTTGGTTACTAAAAGTGGTATCATCCTCGGTTCCATCGGCACTAACATTTCCTACTTTGATGACTAATAATTGACTCAGTTTGTTTATTATTTCGTTGATGATATTTGTAGAGAGTTTAGGTTTTGTAATTTTCAATAGTCTAGTAAATAAATACCATGTTCTTATTCTAACCTTTTCTCTCTTGTTGAACATACCAAAATCACTACAGAAAATGTTTAAGAGTGCAAATTCATCTTTATCATTATTCAAAAAATTGTTATGTCTAACGACTAATTCAAAGAAAGAAATCTGAACATATGAGTTATCCAACGTGAAAATGGTAGGATTTTGTAAAAGAGCATCCATAAATTTAACCATAATCTGAGCTGGCTCAGAAGTAGAAATTTCATTTTTATTGACACCGAATAAGTTATTACGGATACTTTCAGCCAAATTATGTATTTGATAAATCATTAACTCTGGATCTCTCCAATCTTTATTTGAATTAGTTAGAAGAAGTAAAGATTCAATTTGATTAGTAATATTTTGTAAATAAATTGTCGGACTAATCACACAAACACTATCTTGGAAAGTCTTTATCTTTGATCTAATAGTTTCATTAAATTCATCTATTTCGTCTTGAGAATCCTCATCACTACTTTCATCTATTCTCATTTTCTTGACGATAACTTCTAATAATGAAAATAAGAAGTTGGAATGTCCATTTGTTAAAGTTTGTTTTTTGGAGGCCATTGCTACTGCAGAACCTGGTTTCCCTCCTAGAGCGAATAATTTCTTTAAGATTCCTAAATATTGGGTAATAAATGGGAAACATTGTTGTGTCACTGAATCGTACTCGTAGACCATGAATTTCAATACCAATGGTGATACTTGTAATAAAATTTGTTGATCAGCTGCGTTTGCAACTTGTTGTGTTTCATTATAAGTAGGATCCTGTGGAGATATATCATTACATTGATCTAAGATAATGGCAAGTTCTAATCCTACAGATGATACTAATTTGGCAATCTGTTCATATACCTCTAAATCGTCTTGTTCTATCTTTGCAATTTTCTCAGTAAGACTTAACATACTCAATAAAGTCAATTTATCTACTGGTTTCATCTTTTTAGAGATAATTTCACATAAACATTGGCAACAAGCTATTTGAGTTTCATGATAATCAAGGAAACTGTAAATGACAGATATATATTCCTCATTAATGATCAAATTTACATCGATCCATGAGATATATGACCCAATACATGATAATATTAATATGGAGATTTCTTTATTAATTTGAGGTATTTGAGCTTGAGCAACATTAGTACCATTAGATGGAATCATACTCTTTAAAGAATTTAACCATATTGTTACTAATACAGAGACATCCTGAATTCTCATTGAATCTTTTAAACTATTATTTTTAATTTGGATATCTTTAGATCTTACAAAAGTTTGATCAGCAATTTCTGTATTAATAAAACCACAAATTCTTGCGAAAAAATCTAACCCTAGTGGAGAAAATTCGGAAGAGATAGATTTCACTAATGATTCTATCGATAATAAAGAGATCATATCACTAAAAAAAGTAATCCATTGATTTCCATTACATTCACCATAACTTGCATAAAATAATCTAGTGATCAATTCAGCAATTTTATTTCTAAAATATTCTTGACCTTTTAAATCATTAGTGATTAAATCTCGAATAAAATTCACTGTGGTAGTCTTTATAAATACAATTTGTTCTTTATTATTCAATAGAGACGCTTGATTCACGATATCACATAGAACTTGTAAAGATACAAATTTAGTGATATCATCTGATAAAGGATCTATCAATAAAGAAGAGAAGAATTGAGATGCATTAGGATCATCTTTCATTTCATTCAAATAATTCAATGCTTGCTTCTTTGTATCTACATCTGAAGTGGAATCATTCGCCACAGATATAACGTTTCTAATTCTTTGTAACATATCGGAGTAAAAGGATGGTAATTATGACTGGAAATGCAAATGATATAAAATAAATAAAAAAAATATGGAAAATGAAAAACACTAATTGATGGAAAACTGCTTCCCTTTTTTTTTCTACAGTAACAGGATAAATGAGTTTATGGACACTTACTACTTTAATCTTTTTATCTTATACTCCTTTAGCTTGTTCTTCGAAATGTGATGCTATGGCTGAAGTCTCCGGTCAGATCAAATAAATAACTGTTTACTGGGGTATATATGTATATATATGTACCTATCGTCAAATGAATATGGATAAAATTTCTTAGCAGTATATATATATATATATCTTCTAGTCTTGTAGCACGAATGAGATACAGTACAGATCTAGCTGAATTGTGAAGCTGGGTATTCACTTGTGTTAAAACCTGGCCTTTATATAAAATGTATAGATATCCAACGAAAACAACAAAAAAAAGCTCACTCAAAATCTTTTTCTCTCTCTTTGTCCATCGAAAGATTGAAAAACTTTTCGCTTCGCTTCTCGCGGTGTTTGCGCTGTCCACTCTCGCTGTGGCCGTCGCTGTCACATTTTGTAGCTATAAAAGTTGGTGAAGCTGCTGCTGCTGGCAAGTTTGAACCCAAGAAGATCCAATGCGATGAGATGAGATGAGCTGGCAAGGTAGCCAGGGGGGGGGGAGAATAGCTATGACGCATCTCTCCCCACCCCTCCCCCTCATATGAGTAACTCTGTTGTATGATGCATACATGTGTATGCACTTATTTATTGAAGTTTGTTCAGTAGGTATATACACATCTATATAAGTGAGTCATTCGAAAACTTGTGTCTGTTTCTACATAGATTCGGCAGCTAGGAAGGTCTTCAGTTGTGCAAAGGCTCTACCTCTCTGAGAGATTAAATTCTTATCCTCCTTTGCCATTTCTGCATATGTTTGACCGTTTGTAGATTCCTTTGGTTGAAAGATTGAATCCCAACCAAAGGTAGTTGGACCACGACTTGAGACTATAGTTCCCTCTGTGATCCCTTGGAATACATGAAATTCGCCCTTACCATCAGCATACACTATCGTAGTGATGGCTTTAGCATCTTTATTATCGAAAGAATCTAACATTTGAACAATTTTAGCCAGACCCATACTCTTAACAAACCATTTAATATAAGCACCTGGTAAACCATTGAATTCATCAAATACTAATGCTGTATCTTCTACAAATACAGGTCTGTTGGGACCTAATATTTCAGAGGCTTGTTTGCATTTAGCCATAGCAATACTCTTTAAATCAACATCTTGGATTTCTTCTAAATCTAATGGTTCATTAATTAAATTGAATTTAGAACTTTCAGATGATAGAATCATCTTCACTTCCTTTAATTTGTTAGCATTACCAGTAACAAACACAATATCTTGAATAGACATCTTTATACAAACCGATTTTCAGTGTTGTGGGTTCACTTTGTAGTTGTTGTTGTTGTAGTTGTAGTTGTGTTTGGGTTTCTCTTCTACTTGAAGAAAACAGTTCTTTTATAATTTTTTCTCGATTTATCGTAAGGAATAGAGTTTTTCACTAAAAAAAAGGTATCCATGTTAAGAAATTAAAACCATCACCATTCGACACAAACGAGCCATACTGTTCTTGATATCTTAAGTTATTAAAATTATGCTGATTTTATGATAATGCATACACATAAATATATATCTATATATAAATAGAAAGTAGGAGGAGTTAGAGAAATAACGAAATATATATATTTGTCATTTCATTTATAATTCCAATGATAGTTTATTGATCTAATTGGTAGCAGTTGGTGGAGCGTATTCCAATTCGTTGGAGTTTTCATATTCGTACATATCCAGAGCAACAATAGCAGATTCTCTGACAACGTCGACTGGATCGTTCAAGTACATCTTTAGGACTGGGACAACGTCTGGGGTAGCAATGGCACCTAGAGCTTCTGCAGCTTCATGTCTAACCATAGGAGCTTCTTCCATTCTAGCTAGAACTTCAACAAGTCTTGGAACAGCAGCTGGGTTACCCATTTGACCAAAAACGTAAGCAATTTCATGCTTGAACAAAGCAGATGGATCGTCAAAACCAGTAGCCAAAGCATAGATAGATTCATTGGTACCAATGTCTCTCAATCTGAACATGGCTCTGTATCTTTCGAACATTGGCTTTTCTTGGTCAGTCAACAGTTTTTGTAATTCAGCAACCTTGTAGTTCTTGTCTAAAGCTAGAGGTGGAGCTGGATCAGTACTGCTGTATAAGGATTCTTGTAGTTGTTCTTCTTCAGCCTTAGCACTATGAGCCCAGTTGATTCTACCAATGGCTAATTCAGCAGTTTGTTGAACGGCTGGATGTGGGTCCTTTTCTTGGACGGTCTTCAAGTCATCTAGAGATTCTAGATCACCTAGAGCACCTAGAGCTTCAGCAGCTTCGTGTCTAACCATTGGTTGTTGTTCAGCATCCAACATAACCTTTCTTAAAATTGGACAAGAAGTCATGTTCTTGGTTTGACCCAAAACGTAGGCGACTTCGTGCTTCAAAAGTTCAGAGTCATCAACGAAAGTTTCAGCAATGTATTGAACAGCCTTGTTAGCATCTTCTGGGTCCTTTTCAAAGGCTTCAGCGACACATTTTAGGTTGAACAAAGCTCTGAATCTGTTGGCTAATTCAGAGTCCTTAGAGACTAAGACATCTCTTAGTTGTTCTAGATCCTTTTCATCGATGACCTTTTGGTAATGTTGTTCTAGTTTAGTAGACATATTTATAAGATATAGTAAATGCTTGATTGATGTTTACCTACAAAAATTTTACTACTAAATAAATAGAGCAAACAAAATTAGAAATTTTCCAAGAACAAGGAATCAAATTCACAAATTTTGCAATAGACCATACCCTTATATATACATATATGCTAATAGTCCTTATACTTATTCTTCCAAAAGTTCAGTCTGTGAAGTTTAGAATTATTAAGCAATTTGCAGAGCTTCTCGACTGAAAAGATGAAAATTTTTTCTTTTTTCACTTTGGGCGATGACCTAATCCTCAGATATTAGCGTAGACTATACACTAACTTCAATTAGATTCAACTATTGCAAAAAAAATTTTCAAACTTTGGGTATCCTTTTTAAAAAGAAAAGAAGGTGAAGAGTTGCTGCTACTCTGCTGTCCTCTCTTAGATATAGACGGAGGTTCTCATGTGTTGTTGGTCTTCTTGTGGTTGCGTTTGTGGGTTCTCACATATCCCTGGCAACGGGTTTTTGCAGGCACGCTTGTCACCGTATATCGTTTTCTTACAGTAGGTTGCCTGTAGAGTCAGTCAATTGAGCTTTTATTGTAAAAGGAAGTAGCTAATTTGATAGTGTTGCAATTGAATTTGCATTGTTGGCCGAACGTGAGAAATGTGTTTGTGTTTATTTTATTGTTTCAATTTTTTTTTACCAAATGAAGATAATGGATGTCAATGAAGAACGAGGGGAGAAACGTTGGAAAGAAGGAGGTAAATGCATTATGGGAAAACCATAAGTTGAATTGAAAACAGAATCTACCATATGAAGTTACTATTTTTATTTAAATAAGAAAAAAGTCGTTAAGGCTCTCCTACTGCAAGAGACAATCGCTTAAAATTTAATGCGTTGATAGAAATGTACACAATCATATATATATATATATATGCATATATTTATAAAATTCCTACTCCCTAATGTAACGAGCTATGTTTTCTGCAGTTTCACTGCTTGGACTCTTTGCGGTAGATGCTAATGCTTCGGCGTATCTCTTTTGTAAATCTGGTGTCTTATCATCATTGACTTCACCAGTCATTCTCTCCTCACCAGCAAATGTGTATTCTCTTTCGACACCCTCATCTTCATCTCTTTCTAGTACACCGTCGTTTTCACCCTCTTCCAAATCACTAATGACCTCTATACTATCATCACTTTCGTTACCATCCTTCTTCTTGCCTTCGTTAAGACCAAGATCCTTCATTAATCCATTCAATGATTTTTCTTTACGTTTCTTCTCTTTCAATTCTTTCTCCTTAACAATTCTATCTCTTTCTGCTTTATAAAACTCGTCATATTCTTTCACTTTATCATCTACTGCATCTAAAAATTGATCAAACCCATCACCTGTGTAACTAGAGACACCAACCATATCTAACTGGGAATAAAACTCTTCCAACATCAGAGACATAGAGTTAATCAAAGAACTCATGTACCCAGACCCCATCCCAAGATCACCATTCAATTCTTGATCTTCTCTAACAGCAGTTTGGAATGCTTCAAAATCGGTCATCCATTCTCTAGCGAAATCCTCTTTCTTAACATCTGTTTTATTGAAAACTATAATCATTGGCAACTTAGTCTTGTAAAGGATAGAACAAGCATATAACATATTACTCATAAAAGTCGTCGGCGAAGAGTTTCTTGGGGTATCAACTATGTAAGCTATGACGGTTGGGAAAGTCGATGCAAATGATTCAGTGATGATAGCACCAGAAGCAGACCATACAAAACATTCAATCTGACCAGGTGTATCTATTATACAATGTGTGTGGCCTTCTTGTTTCTTTTCAACCAAACCAATTACCTGGTCGATCTTAGTACTGAACAGATTCAAACTGGTCACGATGGCACCGTTGGGTCCCAACTGGTAGTTTTCCATGACTTTCTTGTACTTGATAGAGTCCCTGATATCAATATTGGCACCATATGGAACGTTCAACACAGCAGGATCCAAATTAATAACATATGGTGGCTGTTCTTTAGAACGTAAATGTGAATTTAATCTCTGCATAAATGTGGTCTTACCGGACCCGGCCATACCAATGCAAATAACGGTGCTCAAAGTCATACTTATTTGAAAAGTTTAAGTATATATATTAATTATAGTGTAGAGTAAACGACAATAGCCCTGGAGTCTTTAGCCTATATATATGTGTATATTTCCCTCTCATTAGTTATATATAGAGATGTTCTTCTTCATTCAAAGTACCACTCTCTCTTTATGTTATTATTACATAATGAAAAATTATCGAAAAAAGCGATGAGCAAACAGAAAAATTGTGATGGGTCACGTGAAAATGGACATGTCGGTCCCAAGACCACACTTCTGGCACACAATAAACTTTCTGTTTATCTATATATAAGTTCATGTAATAATATTTATAAATGAATTCACTTGTACATACTTAGTACTCTAGCCTCTACATTATCGAAACAACATTCGTGTTGGGCAATCGTTAAATCGTTGGCGAGAGCCTTCATTTGAGATTCAACTTGAGCAGGTTGAGACATCATATCTGGTCCCTGAGGAGTCTGTGTTTGCATCATACCTAACTGACTATCTGTGTTTTCGGAAGTTAGAAGATTGAAAACAGGATCCAAACCTAATACAGAGATGAAATACCAAGAGATTGCACTGACCCAGCGGACATCCAAGTCTGCTGTCATAACACCACTTTGTAACATCTCCTTAAATCTTAGAGTTAATGGGAATGGCAACTTCATCAGAACAAATCCAGCGAAGAAATGATTCACCCACCACATGATTATTGTTTGTGGGATGAAACTGGCCATGTTCCCCTTTGCCATGCTCATCATGGCTTCAGCAGTACCCGGATCATTGAATGGATTCACAGTCTCCCCAGTCTTTGCAGCCTTAGACCTTGCAACATATTTACCACTTGCCAAAGCCTTTGAAAGATATTCTTTCCTCTCTTGAAATGATTCATCACTGATATTCGACCCATTCCCAAGTAAAACTTGAGCCTTCATCATATATTGTGCTTCTGTATTTTTCACTCTAGGTTGTCCCTTCACGCCAGATCCAATCAATACAGACACCTGTTGACGCAAGATCCCAGTCAGGATCATCACAGCAGAGATGGGCAATAACACCCAATATTTCAATTGTGGATCCAGAGTCAATTCTGCTATAGCTCCCGCTGTTGCAGTAGTGACACTGCCGCTAAGCAATATACTCCATAAATCTACCATTGTTTCCTTCTGATGTACCTTTCTGCTAACAGTATGTGTACCTTTGGTCCCCACTATAGTGATACCTGTTACTTCATGAGAAGTCTTCTTTTAAAGAGTGTCTTCCTTCAACAAACTTCAAACTTCAAAATGTTTGAACGGGAAATTTTGTATGCACCGCGTAGGGTAACTGCAGTTCTAATTAAATTGAATATACTTAATATCTGTCTATAAAACATATACATTTACTATTTACATGCATTGCACTTGTTAACTGTTTGACCCTAGGAATTAAATATTTAGTGACTATTGCTGGTGAATAGCAACCACTGAGAGTTTGACGTCATAGTAGGGTTGGTGATTCTAATATTTGCGAGCAACTCGAGAAACTCTCTTGCAACGGTCTTGCCAGAGGATAATGTTGAATTTGAATTATCCTTACGTTTCTTGGCTATAGCTAATAAACCTTTGTAATCAAGATTCTTATACATATTATGTGTCTCTTCAAGTATTGGTTCTATTTCATTCAGACCGTCTATATTTTGAGGTCCGTCAAGCCGTATACCAATACCATATGGTTCAATAACATTATCAGCATATGTGAATTTGGTCCATTTTTCATTCAACAATAATTGATTTAATGTTGATATTGATTGAAATCCGATGTGCGTGTTCCCTTTCCAATGTAATATTTGTTTAGAGGTTAGTTTTGGATCTAAACATGGACGAAAGTTTGCTTTACTTAATGGATCTTTTAGTAGCAATACTTTTCCATTTAAGGACTCCTTATGTGCCTCCCATAGGAATTTTCTATCGATTTGTTGATCATTGTTAGGTTTACTCAAATGGTACAAGTAAAAAACGTTGTAATTAGATAACAATTTATTATATTCAGCGGTAAGGTATTGATTCATTACAGTACGCTCTAATTGAGCAAAGGACTTCTTGTTTGGTTCAGGTGGATACTTCTTCAGTAGCCAAGGGGCCTTCCATGGTAATCTCATGGTATAATCCTTATGTCTGTTACTGTTGTTGTTGTGATAGTGTATTTCGAAAGGTCCAGCCCTCCATATATTATTGACGGACACATATAGTTAAATATATAATTATAAATTAAGATAGTCCGGCCGATGGATATAGAGAACAACAGTGAATGAGGACAGTAAGGACAACAAAGAAACAAACCAAAGAGAACATAGATAATCTAACGACCATGTACCTTATTCGTATGGAATGAATTTATGTGAGTTCAACTTAGAAAAAGTGCAAAGAAGGGTCTCTAATATCTATGTTCTTCATGCTTCAATGAACTACATAAAAGATGAAAATTTTATAAGATGGCCTGCAGACTTGAACAAGATACGATTCCGATACTTATATGAACTTCAGGGAATACACGCATAACTTTGAACCTTATTTATAAAGTCCCTCTTCTTTCAATTACAATACACAAAGCTGGTTTGTTGGCTCTTGCAGCACTTTTCCATCCAGGTCATATTTAAATAGAGATATATGGAAAGAAACCGAATAGCAAGCACTACAATTGGGTCTCCCAACTTAACACCTACAAAAACAGGAAGCATATATCGAAAATGATGACCAGTATTCATAAAGATTATTCAATTGAAGCATTCTAAACCGCTGAATGCTCAATAGGTAAATGTTGTTTTACCTAGCGATATTTTCAAGAAAAGGTTTACTTTCTTCATGTGGATAATGACGAAATTCACATGGTTTGACATTCTAGGATTTATACTACCATCTTCAGTAAATTGGTGAACTTGTTTCTAAAACTAGTCTTGGGCAAGCTATCTGTTTTATGCTTAGCATCCCAGTTTTTGTTATACTTGCTCTCGGTAGTTGCTATTGTAATTTATATGATTATATTTTATGGAGTCTCAACAACGCTAGCAGAATGACATTCTATGGAGAAATTGTAAAGTATCGTCCAAGTTCAGATCCTAGGACTTGGCAACTAATTGCGTACCATATGAATCAATATCTGACAGAACAAGAAATATATTTACCTTTATATAAGGAAGAGGATTACTTTGTTTTGTTTAAAACACTCGTACAACCTATTCTGCTAAACGTTACATCTAACACCCCTACTATTACAACTAATGATAATGCTACTGAAAATCTTGAAGAATTGGTTACAGATAATCAAAATTTAATGAACGATACACCTACCACTATCGAAGAAGGTATGAATGTGACAATCATACCAGTTCCAACTGCTGAGGCTATTGATGAGATATCAAACCAAATTTCAGCACTATTTCTAGAAGAAGCAAAGAAGTAAGCAGTTCGTGTATTCAACGAGGCCGACAAAATCTATTGGTTAGAGAGGTATCCATAATTTACCGTATAAATAATATAAACACAAGTATATCCTTCTACAGAATATCCGTTTATGTATGTTTATCAGTGACTAAATGGACATCGTCTTCTCGTCATCAAGAAATGGGTTTTGTTGACTTCCCAGGTAATTCTATATCATCCATAGTCTGCAGAACACTAGATATATCCATAAATCTGTTCAATCGTTCCAAACACAAAGTTTTATTATGTCTCATCCAATTGCGTTTACTCTTTGCTTTTCTTTTCTTTTCGTATCTAATAGCAAAAGCGTTGAAAATTTATTTGAGTTGCAACCAATGACTGCATAAAAAAACCTTCTATAAATGGATACCTCAAGTAGAATAGTCTGTAATCTGCAGCTCCTTGCTGAATAAATAATTTTATACTGTTACGATACATGAAAATGTTAAAACTTAGATATCAAGATTATAACGATGAAGGATAACACATCTCAGACCACAAAACTATTAAATAATAATGAGGCGGAAGAACATGTCGCACTCCCATGTGACAGATACAGTAGTAGACTAACATTCTACCTATCATTAACTGAGAACTATTTGATGACAGTGATATTTATTATTGTTACCCCAATTATGTCATATGTGCCATTATTATTGGGTCTAATAGGAATACCTGTGGTGTACTTGATTGCTAGTTTTCTAATTGAATTGCTCTTAATAACGACCATACCCTTTACATTTTCCTATGAGTTTATTATCAAAAAGATGGAATTAGCCGGACAGATGAAGTTTTATAGTGAGATAGTTCAGCATAAACCTTGTTCTGACCCTGCAACTTGGAATACCGTAGGGTGTCATATGAAATTATATTTCCAAGAACATGGATATAACATGCCGCTATACGATGGGTCAGATTACTATATGTTGTTTACCAAAATGGCATCTCCGTTGACATTTAACACAGAACCTAATCCAGCTTCGAATCTATCACAGAACACAGTCGGAAACATAGAACAATCTAATAATGATCAATTCGATGGCGGCGCAACAATTAATGATAAACCTCAAAAGGAGCGACAGTTGGTATATCTGGAGACTGCTAAAGAAAAAGCTATCCAGACCTTCAGAGAGACTGAGGATAGACATTGGGTGTCGTTATACCCTGAACTTGCTTTTTGAAATATAAATATCATACAACTAATATATATATAATTTACAAATCATGTATTAAGAAGGTAAAAGGCACGAAATCTGAGACTTTTTAGAAACATATTTTGATCAATATTTTACGTTAAGAAAGTATCTCTTTATGGGAAACATTTATCATTTCTTGCACTAAATTATAGAATCTTTATTCAAGGGTTACATTTCATTTGTAAATTATGGGTATAAACACACATTCTACACCTTGATAGCTACGCACCAGTAACAAGGCGTTATATTCATCATTGTATCTCAAGTCTCTCAACCTTATTCATGTGGTATAATATTCAATCAACTATAACTGGCCAGACACCAACTAATACAGTTGCTCACGTTTGTGAAGTATGTGTGGTTCATTATATTCCTCACAGGTTTAAGGATAGTGTCAGTCAATTTTACGCACGGTATAAAAATAGAGATGGGACGCCTCGGAACCGTTTTTATATAAAATGTTGCAACACTTTCCCTCTAACCACAAGATTACAACACATCAAAAGGAACAAGTATCGATTATGAGGGGACTAGGACATGAACAATCAGATACGTCAGCATCTGCAATGCTACATAACACTTTGAACTTAGAGAATAGTACAATAAAACTTCCGTGTGATACATTCCGTTCTAGATTTACATTTCGTATAGTAACAGCGTTTCAATACAAATGGTTTGCTCTAAGTTGGCTCTGTTCACTGGTATTATTTCTTCTGTTCCAAATTGTTTCAAATGAAACCGCAAACGTATTGATATTAATACTCTATATCTATGTTCAGATATTTGCTATAATATTTTGCTTTTTTGTCAATACCATGAGTTTTTTAAAATTTCGTATGTCTCTAGAAGATAAAATGAAATTCTACTCTGAGATTGTCAACAATACACCTTACTCAAATGACCATTCGTGGGATGTCATATGTTATAATATGATTACTTATTTCAAAGAGTCTGGGTTCCCTAATTCACTTTATGATGGTGCAGATTGTAATTCATTATTTCAAGTTCTCCTTAAGGATAAGAAAGACGTTAAGAGCGATACCCAAAACGATACCGTCGAAGAGGAATCTTCTTCACTTACGAAAGACACTACTGATAAGGCGAAGTTGGTATATCTAGAGACTGCAAGAGAGAAAGCCCATCTCGTGTATCTTCAGTCAGAAAATTCATATTGGGTAAATAAATACCCTGAACTTGCGCCTTAGGTAAATATATTTTATAAATATTATAAATGTTTACTGTTAAGTTTAAGAGCACATAGATAGGTTTAATTGTAATGGTTTTACAATAACTAAACAAATGAATCGATGAAATTTCCTTCTTCGAGGGACACTTTCCTTATCTTGATCAAAAGATAAAATAATTTCTTAGAAATTCTACTACCTATATAATGTACGTATTACATGTTGATGAAATATTCTGTTTTTATTTCTTGATGAATAAGTCTATTGGTCAATTATCAAAAAAAAACTTCTACCGGTCCTATTTAGACCATTTTTTGAACAATTAACCCAATTAAATATATAATCACAGTTAACAATTTTAATTAGTATACTTTATCTAGTAAGTCAAACACATCGAAGTAGTTCCTCTTCCTTTCTTAAGAAAACTAATGGAAATATTGAGGTTTATTTCGGTCTTTTTCCTTTACTTTGTTCTCTTGAAAGTTCTGTGGCCGAATCATGTCATTACCGTAAACGGATAAATACATGCTATACTTTTTAATGTTTCACAGTAAGACAGTTTATGGTTTTAATTAAGATCCCAGAAAGAGACGAAAATACATAAGATAAAATTCTAAGTCATAATGCCATATATATATGTATATAGTATTTGGGAATACTGCAATGTTCAAAGAATTCATACTTAGCAGAATGACTGTTAGCATTACTAAGAAGTTCAGCGTTGAGATTTAGGTCAATATATTTACAAGTTCATAATAAGAAAATTCAAAAGCTTTACAACAATGTGGTTTCCAATCAAGCACCGTATTCACATATATGTTAATATTATTCCTTCCAAAGATACATATATTATTCTCTTAATAATTTTTTCTACAGTTGCAAATGGATTAGTACCAGCAATCACATCAATATTAACAGGTAGAATATTCGATCTATTAACAAATATATCTGAATTTAAATTACCAAAATTAGTATTTAAGGAACTTACAAAACGTTCAATGTCGATAATGGCGTTAGGTGCTGCTAGTCTACCAGTGATGTGGCTATCAATATCTTGTTGGATGTGGATTGGAGAAATTCAAAGCTCCAGACTTAGGAAGAGACTTCTAATTTCCTACATTAATAAGCCTACAGAATGGTACGATAAAAATGAAAACCTTTTGGGTGATTTTGTTCAATTAAACAGATGTATTGAAGAAGTCAGATCAAGTTCAGCAGAAGCATCAGCGATCACATTCCAAAATATGGTAGCTATTATATCTTTGATCGGTGTATCGTTTTATTATTCATGGTCTTTAACTTTAATTATATTGTGCAGTACACCTATTATTGTAGCTTTGGCAGTGATTTTCTCAAGGTTAATTAACAAGTATACTCAATTGGAAAATACAGAAAGTTCCAAGGCAGCTCAAGAAATATCGTTTGTAATGAGGGCAGCACAATTAGTAAAACTCTATGGAACTAAGAATGAGGAACAATATAAATTCATGCATCTTACACAACTTTGTAACACATATTTCATACACGCATCTCTTTTCGTCGCAGCAAATGCAGCTATTCTTCGATTTTTGACGTTATGTATGTTCATACAAGGATTTTGGTTTGGTGCAACAATGGTGAGAAAAGGAAAATTAAATATTGCAGATGTTATCACATGTTTTCATTCATGCCTAATGTTAGGATCAACTTTGAGCAATACATTTCATCAGATTGTTCTTTTACAAAAAGGTGATGTTGCAATAAAGAAATTAGAAGGAGCTCTAAAATCGAAGAACAATATAGAAACAGTGACCAATAAAGCTGGCACCCTTCATTTATCATTCCCGGATGCCTCGATCATTTTTAAAAGTGTAAATTTTACTTACCCAAGCCGACCAGAAAATAGAATACTAAACAACTTATCACTGACGTTCAAAGCGCATGAAACAACATTTATCGTTGGTAAATCCGGTTCTGGTAAATCAACACTTTCAAATATACTCCTAAGGTTATATAATTTGGAAAGTGGTTCAATTTTAATCGATAATTTAAATATCAATTTAATTGAACGGGATGAATTATTTGGTCATATTACCATAGTCGAGCAACGTTGCACATTATTCAACGATACGATTAGAAATAATATTCTATTAGGTTCACCAGACTTCAAGGAAGAATCAGAAAATAATCAATTATGTTCAACTTTAAAGAAAGCTATTGACTTTTCTCTTCTAAATGAATTTATCCAGACTTTACCGAAAGGATTAGAGACCAAGATCGGAAGTGAAGGGATCACATTAAGTGGAGGTCAACAACAAAGAGTTGCTCTAGCAAGAGCTTATATGAGAGATACACCAGTTTTAATTTTGGACGAAGCTGTCTCAGCCTTAGATATTTCACATAAAACAACACTAATGAAGTCCATTAGGAGTTGGAGACACAACAAGACTACAGTTATTCTATCTCATCACCTCGCCGATATAGGGGATGATGATTATGTCTATGTAATGAACGAAGGTTTGGTTGCGCAAGAAGGTTCCAAACATGATTTGATGAACAGTAGATCAGGCCAGTTTTATATTATGAATGAAGTCCAAAACCAGTATAAAATGCCAATATCTGAAAATAATAACTTGGTATCTCAAGGCTTCCCATCTGCCATGAGCTATACAGAGGAGTCAATTATTCTTAATACATCAACCCCATTGACTACATCTGAGAAGTCTTCAATATTTCATGAGAAACTGTCTAAGAATCACACATCACTCGAAGAATACGAATTAGAACAAAACGAACCAGCGTATATAAGTAATGATAGGAGAAGACTTGGAGATGAAGAAGCATTAGATAAAAGGCAAATCCTTCCATTAAAAATAATTATATTTCAAATGATCAAAACCATTCGAAACAAGAAATTGCTATTTGGAGGTATAATGGCTTCCCTTTTAGCAGGGGCAACAAATCCCATCTTTTCTTACACTTTTAGCTATCTTTTGAATGGGATAGTCCCTGGCTCCCAGAATGACCAATATTATTTACTGAAATGGTCATTTATTGTCCTAGGTGTGACTATTGCCGATGGTATTTTTAATTTTTTGAAGTCTTTTATTTTGGGTTATTGTAGTGAGAATTGGATAATGGATATCAGAAATGATACGATGGAATCTATCATCCATAAAAATATATATTGGTATTCACTCGATTCTAACAAACCTTCTGAAATATCTGCCCTTTTGATGAATGATCTAAGAGATTTACGTTCATTAGTCTCGGAATTTCTAAGTGCAATGTCAACTTTTCTGATAGTTTCATTATTTGGTCTTATTTGGGCGTTAGTTTCTGGTTGGAAATTAAGTTTGGTTTGTCTTTCAATGTTTCCCCTCATTGTAATATTTTCTAGTTTATATGGTGGATCATTGCAACAGTATGAGACCAACTATAAAAGTTCTGTTGCCAAATTGGAGAATGATCAATCAGAGGTCTTATTAGGTATTAAAACAATCAGATATTTAAAACTTCAAAGTCATTTCTTAAACAACCAACGCTGCAATCAAGTTAATATGAGACAAATTGCAAAAGGTCGTACAATTGTAACTGGTATGGGTATTGCTATTACTAACACATTAACGATGTGTATCCAAGCCATCCTGTATTATTATGGATTGAAATTGGTCCTAATTGGTGAATACTCTTCCAAGAGAATGTTTCAAACATTCACATTATTACTTTTCACTATTATGACATGTACCAGTTTAATAAGCCAGATTCCAGATATTGCGCGAGGTCAAAGAGGGGCAAGTTGGATCGATAGAATTCTCAAAGAGGATAAAATGTGGAGTGAGGACGTTAATTATGAAGGACGTATTGCCAAGATTGGCGATATAGATAGTAACATATTAGTGAAAATTAATAACTTAAATTACTTTTATCCCTCAGCACCCGGTGTTACAATTTTCAATAATCTAAACCTCGAACTAGCTAACAATAAAAGCTTTGCAATAGTTGGAGAATCTGGTGCAGGTAAATCAACTTTGGCCTTACTATTAACAAAACTTTATAAAGTCCCGAATGGGTGCATATTCCTCGATCAAACGGATATTAATGATTGGAATTTGGTATCCCTTAGGTCCCATATTGCAATGGTAGAACAGACACCGGTATTAATTGATGATTCCCTGAAAAACAATTTAATGTACGGCAACCATAATGCTATGGTCACCGATCAGGAATTGCATGATATTTTAAAGTTTGTTGGTATATCTGAAATATTGGAAAAACTTCCTAAAGGCTTGGATAGTAGAATATCTACGGACTTGGTTTCTGGTGGTCAAGCACAAAGATTATGTCTTGCAAGGGCTATCTTAAGGAAACCAAAAATCTTGATTTTAGATGAAAGTACTTCAGCATTAGATGCTAAGAGCTCAGAAAAGATAAGACAGATTGTTAAACAGGGTTTAGCGGGTACGCTAATAATTTCTATTACACATAATAAGCCTATGATGGAATGTTGTGATCAAATCATTGTTCTAAAGGATGGAATGGTGAAAGAGCAAGGTCCATACCGTGATTTAAATGTTATGGGTTCAGAGTTTTTCCGCATTACATCAGATCTAGCTTAAATAAAAGTCTCTTTACAATTAATTTTATGAATACATTATTTGATCTACTTGTTTTTATTTTTAAACTGGAGTAATAAAATTTAAAATAAGATTTTATAATATCTTCTCTTTTAGTATATATTATTATATGTATTATAAATGAATAGTTACATATGGAACCTCAACATCCTCCCCATTCTTGTCATCAGCACAAATTTCCAAAATCATAGTACGAACATGAGCTGGAACATCTTGTTTGGTTACTAGTTTAACAACTTTGCAAATTGGTAGCGACATTCTTTCCTTTAATTTCTTTTGAGGGAAGAAAGATGCATATAATAGAGAAACACCATAAGATAGCATAGTGATTTCAAGGCCTTCTTCCTTTTCGAAATGCTCTACTAAATCACCAAGAGTTATGTCACCTTGGATGTCAAATCTGTCCCATATTCTATCATATACTTTGTCGTTGTATTTTCCCTTTGGAGAACCAATTGGTTCTGAAAATCCGAAGAATGATAATGCTAAATTAATGAAACCGTTCTTGTATTGTTCAATATCAGTCTTACCATCGACAACCTTGTATAATTCCAAGTTAACCAAACCAGCCACCAAAGCGGTAGTGGTTGCAATAGCAGGGATGATACGACCGGCGATAAACTTGGTCTTTTGATGATCAGCGACTTCGATAGAATAATTCAATGCCCTACAATTGGAACACGCCGTAATAAAATCTATATGATAATTGGCATCATCATCCTTTTCGAATTCAGCGGGTTCTAATTTGAAGTTCTTTAATGAAGAGCGGTCTGGTAGAGAAGCAGTTAAAGTATCAATTTCATCTCCCATCGGGTTATCAGAATTTGGATCTGGATCCTCATCGTTAACTTGAATTTTTAGATTAACATTTGGAGTGAAAGGAGCAATCGTCATAGAGCCAATGATCTTCTTATATAGTGCCATATCTGGGGAACCTCTTAGGTTGTCGCTACTTGGTAAAACAAAATTGAAGGCACGTAAGTTTGCACCGGCAACTACAAAGCCAACATGTTCAGGATTGTTAATGTCAAATTCCAATGGTGTTGGTGCACGCTTAGAACCAGACCAGAATGGATCACCATTCGAGGTCTTTGCATCTGCTGGGAAATTGTATAGTAATTGTTTGATATCATAACTAAATTTCTTTTCGAATTCCAAACGGGCCCATCTAATACAATCTTCAAAGTTTTCAGGTTTCTTTAATAAAGAGTCAGCAATGGATTCAAGGATACCCTTGACATCACCACTTTGTTTCAAAGTTTGATCTATGAAGTCAGGTTGAGAAATATACATGTTAACGTTTTCCGGTGTGTCAAAGAAATAACCTTGGAATAATGATTTAGCCCATGCGATTGTGTGATCAATTTTACTTGGGAATGAACGTAAAGTACATAATGGGATAGATTTTTCAGGAGGATCTCTTGAAGAAGAATAGGACTCTGTTAATCTTGGAATGACCACTTGGGTGTTACCTTTAGTACCCAAAGTACCGGATTCCAATAAAGGTTTTTGGAAAAACACACAACGACGATCAACATAAGTACGTGCTTCAATATTATCAAGTGCATTAGTAACAAAATCAAGTTGAGACCAGAATGCATCATCAAATATTTCTTCTGTATCTTGACCTACCTTATCGGTCATTGGCTTAATCTTACCCTTTAGAGCTGGATTCATAACGGCAACGGCCTCAGCTGCAACACTAGATTTATCTTTACCAACATCCTTTGGTCTGAATAAGAATTGACGGTTTAAATTGGATTTTTCAATAGAGTCATTGTCAGTGACGACAATAAGACCATTATCACCAGAGCCTAGACCCAAAAGAGCCCAATTCTTTAACATTTCACAACCGATTGCACCAGAGCCGACAAGGAAAACCTTTGAATTGGCAATTTTCTTTTGGAAATCTAGACCAAATACAGCAATTTGATTATCATAACGAGAATTAATTGGCTTTGTATTTTCTGGAGTTCTTGGGAAGTTCTTTGAATCTGGTAGGGATTCTAAAGAATCGAAATACATAATTTGTTTCAATGGAGAGAATTTACCAGAACAAGCCTTCAAAACTTCTTGTGCAACCAACCCACCAAAGAATGCAACGACACCTGGGATATCACCTCTAGCTTGGAAAGATAATTCATGGATCAATTTTTCATTTACTTTAGTTTCTGGACCACCAAAGACATTTGGTTCTTGAGCAGATAAATCATTTGTCAATTTAACCAATTCATTTGCATCTTCTAGGTTCATTGGTCTTGGCAATTCACCTTGATGTTTAATTTGGAATTGATGTAAAGCTTGGAAACCTAAATGTAATTGACTAGATCTATCGAATTTTGAGAAATCCGAAAAGACAAACTCTGGATCAGTTAAATTGTCTTGTAAAGATTTAAATGTAATATTTTGTGGGATTTTAACTTGTGTAAAGATACCACCTTTCTTATATTCACCAAAACGTTTCATAGAGCCTATTCTAAAGGCAAAGGGACCTAACACTTCAACTTTGTAAGGTGTACCATCATTCAGTTGTTCTAAACCTTGTACCTCTGAAAATTTTACAAAATCGCCATCTTCTAGACCATGTCTGTTATCGTCTAACATGGTTACAGTTCCATCAGGCTCGATATCGGAAACGATACCTGTCTTTGGTTCTTCACCAGTTATATCTAGGACAGTAAATTCTTTTCCTAGATCAACAAAGACATTACCAAATAGACCTCTTGTCTCAGTGGAGATAAATTTGATTCCATGTTCACGAGCATAATTGTTTAATTTAACTTTATCCTCTAAAGAAACAGTTTCTGTAGCTACAACAACTTGGTATGCATGTAATTGATGTTCATCTGCCATTGAATCTAAGATATGAATTGGTACATAAGCATTTAATTCTGCTAATTTAGCTTGAGATACAACATCTCTTTTCTTACCAATATCCTTTTCTGAGAAGAAAAATTGAGTTGATAAATCTTGAATAGTGATTGTAGTTGGATCATATAAAGTAAGGGATTTCACACCAGCTAAAGCAACATTTTTAGCAATTTCTATACCAAGACCTTTCATACCAATAATCAGGACATTTGATAGTTGCATCTTTAGCATCGCTTCTTTACCTAGGACGTATAATTGTCTGGAGTAAAGACTCTCATCGATTTCACCTACTTGAGAGCTCATACTGTCTTTTGCGTGTATGTGTATTGCTTAAGAGAATTATATTAGACTAACTTAACAAACACTCGATATTTTTTTGAATGTCTTTAATGAAAAAAGAATGTCGAATTTGTTGAGACTAAAGTTTTAAACCCTTATATAATAAATACACTAATTTAAATCAGATTCAATTGAGTCCTTAGAATTATTATGTAATCACTGATTTTCTCATTACCCTATTGCTCAGAATGACAAATATGATTGTGATTTAGATTTAGATCTTGGGCTAAAGAATTTCCAAGTTATTACAAGGGTTGTTACCAATTTTTCCCAACTGTCTTTGTTTCCAAACTTTGAAGTTTGTCAGGTTTTGCCACCGCACATTCGGCTTTGTCTCTGAGTGTGTTTTTCTTACTTCAACAAACCGACCGCACCCACTCAGAATCGAACGGTGATTACAAAGAGATTTGGCGATAATCTGTGGTAGAAGCATAGATTATCACTATGCACGATGTGGAGAGCCATTTCACACACATGCGTTCTACATCCGTCTCTATATATATATAATATATATTATATGTAATAATAGTTTTTATGCATATATCTGTGTGCTGAAATCAGAGTGGTGTCCAAGCTCTACTAAAAACTGGACTATATAGACTTTCCTCGTCACTTAAACGTATTATCTGTTGTCCCTATCTGGTAACTCATCACTTAGCAGCATACAAATATACAACTATATGTACAGCATATTCATCTGAATAAGCCGTTACATATTCACAATTCTCATGGGTGGGTACTTCATCATATCCTGGCGATATTGATATTGTTCCCGCCACATCTTGCTTATTAGTTCTCAATAATATTATCCAATTTAATAAGAAACATATATTTCTCTCTGCTACTTACTCTCCTTATATATATAATGAAAATATAGAAAAATAACCGTTTCGCTGCGTTTTATTTTGCGGGCCGCTCAGAAAATGTTTTCCATCTTTTATTTGTTTTGGGGGCTCTGATGAGAGATTGTTCTTAATTAGGTTAGGGCTTGCTTTATTAAATAATAACAACGATTAATAAGTAATAGAGATTAGCATATTCTTTAATTATTTTGTTCTTTTTGTTTTGTTTGAGAAGGGACTATGGTTACGTAGTTATTTTTTTATTTATTATATGGATATGTATGGTTATTTTTTTTTAAAAATTTTGATATTTGGTCATGATGAACTTCACTCAAGTGTCTCTTTCTTTAGATTAGCTTCTTTCTCTAATCTCTCTTCGATCTCTCTCAACTCATGTTCCCTTTGTAACAACTCTTTCCGCTTCATTATCAATTCCTGTTGCACTCTTTCTTCAAAGGCCTTCAATCTTTCTTCTTCTAACCTTATTTGTTCTTCACGTGCCAAGTATGTATCACGAGGAGCAGAAATAGTAGAGGAATCACCATTTATAGCAGGTGATGCAGTAGCACTTGGTAAACCTGGTGATATAGGTTTACCTTGGAATTCCTCTTGTGGCATAGGACTTGTCACTAATTCGTTATTATTATTCATTGAAGTTGGGAATGGAGCAGATTCACCTGATAATGCTTCAGTTCTATATCTTTCATATAATATTTCATGTGTATAATCTTTTAAATCATGTAAATGAGAAATCAATAATGCGTTTCTTAAGATGGCAAAATCAGAAATTGTTGCATCTTCAACATCAAGCATCCCCCAAGGATATTTTCTACCACGTACCATTAAAGAATTGCCCATATCATAAACTTCATTAGACCCAATGATTGAAAATGGTAATGCAGATCTTAAATATGTGTTTGTATCATAATCCTCTTGAGAGACATCATCTTCATCAAATGGGAAATTATAAATTGGTAACTGATATCTATCAATATCTTCCATAATTAATTTTTTATTTAATTTTAATTCTTCAGGAGTTAAAGAATCGGATTTGGCTATTAATGGTAAAATGTTTGTTAAACTACCAAGTTTACGCATAAATTCAACATCCATCTCTTTCAAACCATGTCCCGTTGGAGAAATTAAATATAAGCAGCAATGAACTCTTCCATCTTTAAAACGTGGATTTCTTCTTACACGACTTTCTTCCAATAAAATTTCATCATATTGATGACGAATATAATCCGAAATAACTTCGAACGAGGAAGTATTATCCAAGGAATCACCGAACCCAGGAGTATCAATAATATTCAATTGAATCTTCACACCTTCATCATCTTCTAACTCAACAGTTTCTTCTCTCAATTGTAATTCAATCTCGGTAGATGTATCGGTAGGTAACAAAACAGTACTAGATGTGTCAACCACTTGCTGACCACACAAGGTGTTAATGAAAGTGGATCTCCCACAACCAGATTGGCCGACAACCATAGTTGTAAAGTTGATCCCTCTCTTTAAATGCTTTCTCTTCCTCAATGCTGAGGATGCTTCAATGATACCAGACATGATTTAACTTCGAGTCGTAAATATAATTCCGTATGGTTTGTCTTGTCTTTGCTTTATTGACTAATTGAGAGACCCACCTTATACGCAAGGTTTTATGTAATGTGTTGTGAGGTCAATCTCTCTTTTTAAAATATGATCTAATCAATTCTCTAACTACTCTGCCTCATTCCTTAATACGTGCCCTTTCATATTTTTGTTTGTTTGTCTCTTTCATCAACAATCAAAACTCGCGAATTTTGGCGTGCAAAAGATTTAACAAAGAAACTCATAGAAACACTGGCCCGTGCACAATGATATTGTGTAAGAATATCAAATAGAGACTAGCAAAACTCTGTATGACAGAAACAACGAAATGTTCAGAATTATTGATAAGTGGTACTATGACTAGATATGCATATATATATACCACGATGTTCAAAGTAGCAACTCCCCATTGATTGGCTGTTTCATCGCTGTGTATATCCAAAAGGCACGTGACCCCTGCGATTTTTGGCTGGGAAAGTGAAAAATTTGACTCATCGAGAACAAGCGAGCTAATTTGGATACGCACTTTAATGAAGGGAAACATTCTGACATTGATGTGTCAATTATCCTTTAAATCAAAAAAGAGAGCATATATCCTCTGTCAGTTGATCTGTTCATTTTGAAATCAAGTATATATATATATATATATTAGTTCAGATTGCTAGTGGTGTTTTTTACTTTATTGAAACTAGCACTATATCCTTCTTTTTTTGAAAGACTAAAAAAATATAAAGCATTAACCACACATTACATAAGATATACAATGAGTGCCGCTAAGAATGTCGTATTAGTCGACAACTATGATTCTTTCACTTGGAACGTGTACGAATACCTTTGCCAAGAAGGTGCACATGTTCAAGTTTTCAGAAATGATAAGATCACCGTGGAGGAAATAGAAGCTCTTAGTCCAGATGTGATCGTCATCTCTCCAGGTCCAGGTCATCCACGTACAGACTCGGGTATCTCAAGAGACGCGATCCGTTTTTTCACAGGGAAGATCCCAGTATTCGGTATCTGTATGGGTCAACAATGTATGATTGATGTCCTTGGTGGTGATGTGACTTATGCAGGAGAAATCGTACATGGTAAGACCTCTATCATTACCCATGACAATAAAGGTTTTTTCAAAAATGTTCCTCAGGATGTTGCTGTCACCAGATATCATTCTCTTGCTGGTAATGACCCTACTTTACCAGAATGTTTGGACGTCACTGCAAGAACAGAAAAGGGTGTCATTATGGGTGTTAGACATAAGAAATATACTGTCGAAGGTGTTCAGTTCCATCCAGAATCTATCTTAACTGAAGAAGGTCATCTAATGATTAAGAATATATTGAACGTTACAGGTGGTACTTGGGAAGAAAATGCTAAAAATCAAACGTTTTCAACTCTAAAGAAAAATCAATCTATTTTAGACCGTATATATGAACAAAGGAAAGTCGATGTTAAGGAACAACAAATGGTTCCAGGCTTCACAATGAGAGATTTAGAAAGTAATTTTAAATTAGGTTTAGCTCCATCCGTACAAAATTTTTATGAAAGATTACAAGTCCCTCAAAATTCTTCAAAGAGAGCTGTAGTACTATCTGAAGTCAAACGTGCTTCTCCATCCAAGGGTAACATTTTCATTGATGCTGTTGCTGCAGAGCAAGGTTTGAAATACGCGAAGGCAGGTGCTTCAGCTATATCAGTATTAACTGAACCACACTGGTTCAAAGGTACCCTTCAAGATTTGATTAATGTAAGAAGAGTCCTAGATAATGAATTTAAGAGTAATCCAGAGGCTAGACCATGTGTCTTAAGAAAAGAATTCATTTTCAATAAATATCAAATCCTAGAGGCTAGATTAGCAGGTGCAGACACTGTACTATTAATTGTAAAAATGTTAAAACAAGATGAATTGGAAGAATTATACACTTATAGTGTCAAAGAAATGGGCATTGAACCACTAGTGGAAGTTAATTCTAAAGAAGAGTTAGATAGAGCAATTTCCATTGGTGTTAGAGTAATTGGTGTCAACAACAGAGATTTACATTCCTTTAATGTTGATCTAAATACTACATCTAAACTTGTGGATTCCACTCCGAAGAACACTTTATTGATTGCTTTATCTGGTATCACCAGTGGCGAAGATGCAGAGAAGTACAAAGAACAAGGTGTACATGGTTTCTTGGTCGGTGAAGCTCTAATGAAATCAGAGAACGTTAAAAAATTCATTGATGAGTTGACCGTTTAAATAGATACATTTTATACATTTGCAAATTATATGTCGTAATATTATAGTATGAAAATTATGACATCCATTTTGTTAACAAGATTTTTTTATGTTTTTTTTAAATTATAAAAATTTAATTAGTTACGTCTATATCTGTGTGGGTGCGTATATTAGATTAGTTCATTAATATAACGGTAGAAAAAGGATAAAGAAAGGAAAGAAGAAAGGACAAAACATTCTGAACTGTCTTAATTGATTCTTTTTAATCCGACTTTCTTTGGTTATTTGGTTTGTAATATGATGGACTTGGTAAATACTTGATATCCTTACTCTTTTTGTCATTTGTAGATTTAGATTCAGTGGTCAAGAATTTCAATTGAACTAAACCTGGCCAGTTAACAAATTGCATACCATTTCTAATGACAAACTTACCAGATAATACTAGGATAAACGTTGCAGTTAGGAAAAACATTAAGTTCTTGAAACTTGTGAAATGATATTTTGGGAAAAATATTGTAGCCCCAAAGACGGTTAAAGCTGCATAAATAATGGTTGGTAAAGTTTGAATATAGCTTGGTCTATTATCAGAGAATGGAGATCTACCTAATGATGAGGTATTTGGTTGGAAATTACCCAAAAATAGATCATATGAATCTTGTCTTGGGCCATCAGTCAAATTGTTTTGATAATAACGAGAAGCAGAGTTAACAAAATCATTGAATGCACCAGCTTTAGTACGCTTACCGGTTCTAGTGAAATCAGTCTTCAAAGCACCGGTACCAGAGTAAGAGAAACTTACTGCATCAGCATTATCAGCCCATAAGTTTTGAAACAAGGATAATAATTTCTTATCGGATTCCCATAGGTCATTTTCATCCTTTAGAACATTGGCTGTTTGTAATTCTCTTTGTAGTACCCAATGAGCTAAAACAGATTGAACGACATTGGTTCTATCTAGACAATCCATACAGTTAGTTCTCACAACACTATTTTGTTCGGAGACAATTTTCAATGTTTGTCCTTGAGAATCCACAATCTTATGGAAGCAATCAGTGTTTTTTAAACCTGCATCTTGTAATTGTTCGATCAACAGTTTAACTCTATGCCATTTCATATGACGACATTCATGATGGAAATCAAAATAATTATAAAGGACATCTGGATTATCAAGTTGTCTAACGATATTTTCATATGCTTCCTTTACTGGTAATTCATAACCCTTCTGATTAACTAGGGAAACCAAATAATTTCTACCGTATAAAGAAGTTTGTTGATCAAAGTGTTTCTTTGTAGCCTCGATAGAATTTTCACCAAGGACCAAATTTGGTTTGTATTTCAAATTATTAATCTCAGCCCAAAAGACAGGTACGGAACCTCTTGTCTGTAGCAACGAGAACGCATGATGTTCAGCGGCACCTGTTGGCCAAGTGATTAATACTTGTTCAGTTTCGTTGAAATTTGCAACATTCCCATCTTCATCAATACCACGACGGAAATATCTTGTACCTGCTCTAAATCTACTACGTCTAGTGACTAAAGCCAAGGAGATTGGGGTTTGCGCTAAGATTGTTTCGACACATTTAGCATACCCATAAATTATAGGTTGGATGAATCTATCAACACGAGGTTCTTGAACAGTCAACTCTCTCAATTCTTGAGATAAGTAATGATTCCAAAAGAATCTTGTATCACATTGTTTCCAATTGAAAGTGTTTGTTGAATTGTTACCAATCTTTTCATTACGTTGGAAAGAATTTGTTAAGTCATAAGTATAAGAGAAAAACAAAGTAGCATTAGTCAATTGAGTCTCCAATAATGATAAATATGAAGTTTCGTCAGAGTCAGCAACTTGGCTTGATGAAACAGGAACAATCGAATGTTGAATCACCTTGTATAAAGTGTGACCTGAAAGTTTACCGGTCTCTTCGACAGTATTAGCAATAATGGCATATTTATTTAATTTCAATTGAATGAAACCTAATAATGCAGCAATCTTTGTGATATTGCCTTGTACTGGGAATTGTTCAGTATCAACCACCCTCACAGCAGAGTCGTATTTTGAGACAGAAATCGCAACATCAGAAGTAGTTGGTGTGGCATTACCGACAGAAGGTTTGAAGAACAGACCTTCAGAGGACTGAGCAAACAATAAAGGACAGGACATTTTTCGTAAATTAAAGAACGTCGAATAGAAATATTCCCTACTGGTCTTCGTAACTTGATATATGTTATGGTTAACAACAATAAGATCTCTATATTACGTTGATCTTTAGAAAACTCCAAATCATAAAAATACGTCAAGTATTCCTTACAGTATAGGAGACAATTTTTGATGTGATTGTTTGTTTGTTTTAGTCGCGGGGAACTTTTCTCTTTGTTGTCTCGAGAGAACAAAGAGACTCAGTCGTCGTTTAGAGTGCGAAAAGAATGAAATTCAAACGAGTGGGACAGAGGTTCGTGTTCTTCATCTTGGCACAGAAGAAGGATAAAGAAGATCGAGTTCGAAGCTCGAAATCTTTTATTTGTAATTTAGAGATCTAGAAAGTATATATAGCATTTAGTTCAGTTGTTATGGTGCTAGTATAGTTACATTTTGAACAGTATGAAATTTTGTTTACTTGGATATATCACTGTCTAGGTCTTTCAATAACCTAGAGAGTGAACTAAATATAAAAAATTTAAAATTTTATAAAAAAAAATATAAACAAATTTAATTTGCCACAAGAGATCTACTAGTTTTGGTATTTTCTTACCTTGTCAAGAATTCTATATATATATAATATTTTAGATATTTTAGCATTCTAAATGGAAAATTGTTTCCAAGATATTAACAAACTCTCTGTTAAATGCTATAACTGAAAGCTCTTGAACTATAAGAGAAATATGTCAGTAACTTGACCATGCTATCATCTGGTAAAAAATAACAACTAAGGCTATTCTTATTGAGAAATTTATGGCGATGGTTATGAACCTTGTTTCATAAAGTGCCATGTAGTCAACGACATATTTCGTATATAAGGAAGTGAAAATATTTCACCACTTAACTTAGTTCCACCTTTTTACATTATATAAATCCCTATCATTTAATGAAGAAAAGGAGCAATTTCCGTCCATATGCATGTACTTAGTTCTGAACTATCTCATAATACAACATGCAATACTTTTTAGTCTCTAATGTTCAACAAATGTACCTTGTTTCTGCTATCTATAACTATTATTATACAAACTTAAGATTCCGCGCTACCTATCAGAGCGAAAAGTTTTCAAAGAGCTCAATGGATCAGTATTTGCCACTCTAAGGGTAAAACCTATAATTACAAGATATATAATCTATGGTAAAATTTAAATAACGTCGAAAACTTGCAAGAATCAAACCACCAAATAATATAACCTAGTAGATCGATTAAATCATGTTTCAATTGAGTGCTACTTTAAAGGCACATGACCAGGATGTAAAGGGCGTGGTTGCAATCAATAATGATACGTTAGCCTCTGTATCGAGAGATGGAACAGTACGTCGTTGGTCTCTTACTGATAAGAAAGACAATTTATGGACAGATGAAGTATTATACAATACCAATATGTTCTTAAATGCTATCACTTATGATTCTATAAATGAAACAATATTTTTTGCTGGGAAGGATTCTCTGATTAATGGTTGTAAACTTGATAGTTCATTGAATGAGGATCCTCAATTTACTCTTGTTGGCCACTCTTCAAACGTTTGTTCATTAAATGAAAATGTTGAAACTACTGAATTAATTAGTGGCTCTTGGGATAAGACAGCTAAAGTTTGGTCTAGTGGATCCCTAAAATATTCATTGAAAGGTCACGAAGCTGCAGTTTGGGATGCAAAATTCTTACCAAACAACAAAGATAAATTTGTGACTGTGTCAGCTGATAAAACTATCAAGATTTGGGATAAAGAAAATGCTATACAAACTATTACGGGAATTCATGATGATGTTATTAGACAAATTGATTTTATTCCAAGTAGTCAAAATGACTTCCTTTTCGCAACTTGTTCGAATGACACTACAATCAAGTTATTCAATGAAGGTGGGGAAATTATAAAATCTTTAGAAGGCCACGAAAGTTTTGTTTACGATATTAAATACAACAACGTTACAGCTGAATTGATTAGTTGTGGTGAGGATAGATCTTTAAGAATCTGGGATTGTACAACTGGTAAAGCTAAACAAGTTATCAGAGTGCCTGCTGTCTCCATTTGGTGCCTAGATATTCTTCCAAACAATGATATTGTTGTTGGTTGTAGTGATAATACTATCAGAATCTTTTCTTATGAGGAAAGTCGTTTTGCCTCCACTAGTGCCATAGAAGTGTTTCAAAAGGAAGTTGAAAGTACCTCATTAAGCTCACAAACAATGGAGTTCGATGAATCAAAGGTATCTCCACCCGAGGTTTTGAAAAGACCAGGTAAACAAGAAGGTCAAATTGTAGTCGTTAAATCTCCTAGTGGTGCTCTAGATGCTTATCAATACTCCAATTCAAATTGGTCCAAAGTCGGTGAAGTCGTAGGCTCTAATAGTGCTGGAAGTGATAAGAAGGTAAATTTTGAAGGTAATGATTACGACTACGTGTTTGATGTTGATATAGAAGAAGGTCAACCACCATTGAAACTTCCTATTAATATCACAGATAACCCTTATGATGCTGCAGACAAATTTATAATGCGTTATGATTTACCATCAAGTTATAAGGATCAAATTGTTAATTTTATTCTTCAAAATACAAACGGTGTTTCATTTGATGAACCTACTGATAATACAAAGAAGGATGATGTTAAAGCCCCTCCGCAAATGATAAATACAGATAACTTGAGGGTTCTACCAATTAAAGAGTTTTTACCTCTAGTTTCATTTAACCCTGATGCATTATTAAATGGGATAGTTAAATTAAACGAGAAAGAGAAAACATTCAATGATGAAGATTGTGCAACTATCGGTTCAGCATTATATGATATCGAGGGAAATGTTCAAACCTTATACAATTATGCCGTCACAATTAGATCATCATGGAACACAAAAACTCCAGCTTATGATATAATACGATTAATCGTTCACCAATTGGAAACGGCTAGTGATATCAGTGAGTTTGTCGAAGAAGGTTTGAACTCTAAGGATATTAATATTAGGATGTTAATAACACGTATCCTTGTTAATTGTTTTTTGAATAAAAAATGGGGTATTGATCTAATGAAATCTGTTAAAATGTATGACTCAGTATTTGAAACATTGGATAACGTATTAGAAAATGAAACCAAACGTCAAGCGCAAAATTTGGCATTGGCTGTCTCCACCTTACTATTAAATTATTCGGTTTTAGTGGTAAAGGACCCTTCTAACGGATTAAATATAGTTCCGACACTTTCTGATGCTATAAACACAAAATTTGGGAAATTAGAGGAGTACCAAGAAAACGAAGAAGCTGCCTACAGATTGGTTGTTACTTACGGAAATCTTTCTCTAATAGAACCTACGTTAAAACAATTCGCTAAATCAATAAAATGGTTAAATGAGGTTAACCTTAGATACTCGCTCCATAATGAACGATTCTCAAATATTTTTGGAGATATCTATTAAGTTATAGGTTTGTAAATTATATTCCGTATCATATAATTTTATCTTCGACAACATCAGTACTTTTTGTACTGTGGTTCTAAGTAATTCGTTAACGTTAAAAATGTAAGATATTCTTAAGTTTGAATATCACTTAAATCAATAACTTTTTTAATAAAATGACATTTATTTTCAACTATATAATCAGTATACATTTGAGCTCTCATATTATTAAAAGGGAAAGGTTACTCTGTAACTCTATTTTCTTCCAGCTGGATTACTTTGTCAAATAAGAAAAAGTTTTTATCAGTGAGAATTATTTTCGCCAGGAAAATTTTGGTGTTCTTGTCGGGGTAGCTGCGCAGCAGTTGAATTCGTGACAACATCACCTGAAGGAGGTGGACGCTGAACACTGGGAGTATTAACACTTCCTTGGGGGTAAACATAAGGAGACATTGTGTTTGTTAAAGGTAAGCCAGAATACATCGAGGATGGTGGGATTTGGACTCCAGGTATCATATGTGGTGATATATACTGTATTACGGGCTGTCCCATCAAAGTAGGATTTGCCAGATTGTAACCAATGTTATTATTGACCCAATATTGAGCGGACTGAGAAAAGGATATTTGTTCATCGTTGCTGTATTGGTTGGCAGGATAATTAGTAACAGGAAAATGAGAAGAAACAATACTTCTGTATGGTGCAACCTCTTGAGGAACAGGTACATTGTATATTGGTGCTCCGCGCTGGAATGCATTTATATCGTTTGCCATGACACGCTGGGGTGGTACCATATACTGCTGACCATGGTGATCTAAAAGCAAATTATTCTGCGTTCGAGTGATTAGTCCTTGAACATTCTGTACGACACTTGTATGAGGTACTACATCAGCAACATCTCTATCTTTTAAGTAGACTTTGTTAAAATTATCTATAAAATCAAATACGACTTCTGCACGTTTGTTATATTTAGAAATTTTTTTTAATAATCTCGTGACAGAGTTTAATAAAAGAAAACCGTTATTATCATTGTTTTGACTTTCTCTTAATACCAAACTAGTTAAAAACTGAACAGAGGAGAATATTGGTTGCAACAATGCTGGGGTCATAATTCTCTCTGCTATACCAATACTTTTCAAGGTTTCATTAAAGAAAAAAAGAATGTTGTCTAAAATATTTTTCGTCCAACTAAACCCTTCATGACCATAAAAGTGACTTAGATTTTCAGAGAGGTGATTCGAGGTGAAGTAAGTAAATGATTTCCAGTTTAGATCAAAAATCAAATGCCTCAAAATAATGTGCTTTACAAAGAAGACAGAACTTACTATAGATGTTCTCGGAATTTCAAGTTTTCTTTCGAGCTCCGTAAAATTCAATACGTTCGACCTCATTTGGAGCAAATATTGAATATCTGGAAGATTGTAACTTTCATTAGCCTCATTCGAAAAATGTATTCTTAACCAGCCTTCTTGTTTTGGAAATATATTCAGATTATCTAACGTTAATAATGTTTCTTTAGTCGATTTTCGTCCGTAAATTAAGTCTAACAACGAATTTATAATAACGTCGAGTTTCAACTTTGTTATATTATGATATCTAGCATCATCAAATAAATTTAGAATACCTATGATTATCAAATCAATTTCATAGAACAGGGTAAAATTTTTCACTACTATGAGTTCCTGAATATTTTTCACGTAATCTACATTAGAGAAAATGGGCAGCTTTGTATCACTGACCTCCCTCAAATTTTTTAGCAAACGTGCTTTTCCGAAATTCAATGACTGACTGACATCTAAAGATATTATGAAATACCAAGTTTTTCTCCATGTATGTTTATACCTTTCAATGTTTGGTGGGATATTTATATTGTCATTATTAGCCTTTTCTTCATTTAATAGAGAATGATTATCGGGATCGATATTTAACCCAAAACTAAGAGCAAGTTGGACGATATTTTCTATCGAACAGCATGATCTAAAAGTATCATCAATGCCATTCGAGGATTCGCAATAAATTTTGCAAAGCAAAGAGAAATGTATGAGTGGTAACGGAACATATACGTCAAATAGGTTATCTCCAATTTTAATAAACTCCTTCTCGATCAGTACGATTATATAATGTGGAATCTGCTGTTTGAACAACTCAGAATCTGGGCTTAGTTCAGGTTGTTGATTGCTAACACCGTTTATTAGATCATCGCTAGATGCACTAGATGCAAAAGATATCTCAGTCAATTTTATTATAAGTATAATAATACCCAAATTACAATAATCATTATAATTAGATAACGAAATTCTCAATAGCTTATTATCAGATTGGGAATTTTCCACTGAATCATCAGTATACGAGAATATCCTATTGAATTGAATTATAAGATTTTTCGAGTCTAAAAAGGGCATACTAGGATAAAGATATTTAAAAAATATCTGAATAAGTAACTCAGTTTCAAGTCGAGATGGTAAAAAATGAAGTAATGCATTTAGGATATCTTCTTTAGAAATCGATGTTCCACTTTCTATATCAGCAACACGTTCTTCTTCAGTTTTGTTGGTATCATTGTTGGAGGAAATATCAGAATTAATTTCAATGACATAATTTGGATCTACTGTTGGAACAGTGGTGCCATCACCATCATCCTCATTAAGCATATTTGCAATAGAATTTCGCTTTCTTAGATCATTAACATCATCACTACGTGTTCCAACAGTTTGTTTATCACCACTGAATCCTGAACCTGCAGAATTACGAGATGGGCCAATGTTGTGGACTTGCAATGAGATAGAATCGTCTACTGTATCTGTACTGTTTTCAGGATCTAGATTTCCAATTCTCGAACCATCATATTGCGGATCAGATATTGCACTTTCGTTTAATGATGTGTTTATATATTCCTGCCGTCTAACTGTACTCTGTTTCGCAATCGATACGATATCTTTACCTGTTTTATGTGTTGTATTATTAAGTTCATCATCTAATTGTTCATGTAGCTTCGTTACATTATTCCAAATCTTTCGTAATTTTGGATCTGATTTCAGGATTGTCACCGGATTATTGGATGGGTTATATCTAAACTTATTTTCCCAAGTGGTCTTGTAAATATCTATCATAGCCGCATCAGATTTAAAATTCAATTCAATCTCATTGGGATGATATGGGATATACCCATTATCAGTTAATACAGGACATTGTTGAGTGTTATATGTTGTCGAAATCCCAATAAGCTCATTTAGATTATCAGATTTTATTTTTAAAAATGATATTTCGTCATGCTCAGACCATGTTTCCTTATCATCTGCCCATAATTGTTTCATGTAATGACATAGATGAGATATATTTAATAGCTTACAATTGGAACAGTATGGTTTTTGCTTATCACATCTTAATCTTCTCTTTCTACAAATGGTGCAACTCAATGGAACTCTGTTCCTTTTTTTTCTGGATGTTGCTGATGGCGGTACATTTCTTAAATCCATATTTTGTGAAGTATCCATCCTTTTTTTTGGTATATTATGTTGTTTTCAAGTTATTTGCCGTCTTTAAATTATAAATGCAATATGGAGTCAGACTGAAAATTTAGAATGTTTAATTTAATTAAGGAATGCTGATTATAATACAATTTGTGTGGAAGTGCAATTAAAAGAAATGTGAAATATGGAAAATATGCTAAATATTAATGTTAAGCCTCGATATTCTTTCTACAGTTCCTTTAGTATATATCTTAATTACACTGATAGGGATTTTTGTTAATTTGTCGAAATATATTATATTATTGGAATGTATCTTTTTTATGTGATGGGTCCATCGATAATTTTTCTTTTCTAAAATGAATAAAGGAAAAACCTAACGACCTCGAAGTCTGGATTTATAAAATGTTATGGTAATTCTAAAAGTATTATTATTAGAAACCGAATCAAACAACAACTACAACAACAGGAAATGTGGTAATTTTACCGTCTACTATATGTGTGTTATTAATATTTGTTCGAGTTGATTGGATAATAAAAAAAATTCACAGATTCATGCAATTTAAAGAATTAGTCTTTCAAAGTTGGTTTGTTGACCAGTTAGTGTGTGTAGGGGTCGGATAAATGGAATGCAGCAATAATATAATAAAGAAAGTAAAAATACACCCTCGTACAAAAGAGGTAATAATAAAGAATGGATGAGATGATGATTGTTCACAAATATTCATAAAATCTCTCAAGAGAATCTTTCGACGATACTATCAAAAGAACGTAATATGTAGGAGACAAAAAAATTAAACAAATAAAACAAAAAAATGATTTAACACTGTATCAAAAGAGAGAACTTCAATTGTCCCTAGTCACTATTGTTTCAAATATTTTTGATGACTATTGTCTGTTTCGTTCTTCTGCTTAGTTAATTGAAGTATAACGTGAAATAAACCAATATGACAAATTTGACAAAGCAATCTCAAAAAACAAAAGGCCGACTTTATTCTTCAACGTCTATTATTTTAAATTAAGGTTATATTCTAATTGGGAATGTGCTTATTTTTCCTATGTTAATGGATGAGTTTGTTCTAATAAAGGGACAAAAAATAAATAATTTTACCACTAGAAAAAAGAATAGATGAACCTATAAAAACACAAATAACCAATTGGAGTACAGTGCTATTTTTCCTTTGTATATTAATGGAATATGATAAGGTCAGGTCGAAAAGTAGAATACAAGACCAATTATGATGAATAAAAAAAAGTTAGTTGTAGATAAACAACAAAAGATATATGTCCAATGTATCCGATGTTCGAATGAGTTGTCGAAAATAAATTTAATGTGTTATTAATACAAAAGAAGTTAGATTTAACAAAATTGATTTACTTCTAATAAACTGGAAAGTAAATTTATGTCATTAACTTCCATAATCTCCTTTCTCTCTTTTATATATAGAATACCGTTAAAAGATTTTATGGAGCTTTAGATGTTTAAAAATTTTCTGAGGTAAAATCCTTCAAAGAAATTCATTCGTTAACGTGGTGAAAGGAAAGAAACACAAACTTAAAAACGCACATACACAGACAGACACAAAATTAATTCAATTTCTGTTAATCAAGAAAGGTATTCTATAGGGTTTGTTTTATTTTTTATGATGAAACTAGTTTTTAAAGAGACAAGTATTATTGAATTCGATTGTTTATTTTGCAAAGTCAAAGAGAAAAAAAATATCATGAAAACCCAAAAAGTTAAGAACAAACCACCGAAGGAAAGAAAGATCTGGATACAAAAGTACCAAATATTCTTTACCTATTAATATCCATTATGAGGTGAAATTTCAGTAGAAATAACAATTTAGCGGAAGAATAGAATATTTAATAATTTTAAGATTATAGTCAGTTGATGTAGTGTTTAATGCCAGATTTGTTTTAAAAAATTATAATTTTAGTTATATATTAAATGAATTTTGTGATCGACATTGCTATTAGATTAAAAATAAAGTGAAAAAGAAAATGAACCACTAATATAGTTCCTTACTTGGTTGATGTTTTTTCCCCCCACTACTAACGTTTCCTTTAGAAAGTGGGTGAGAACATAAAAGAAAAATTTATTCCGATGAAGAGGGAGAGGGGGAGAAACACACAGTTGATGTATTTCATCTGTCTTCCAAAACTTCTGCTTTCTTTTACAATGGTGTAAAATCTTAAATTCATCTAAAGACAACCAGCTAATTATTTTTTAAAATTATAAAAAAATATAGAAAGTTTAAATTTTTGGTACAGAATGTTATAGAACCATTTATGATCATACTTGTAATTGGTTAACCAAACAATATAGAGAGATGTGTTATTGATTATTCAGAAATTTGCACGGCATATTATTTGTTAAAACTTTAGTATTTATATTGATATTGACAATAATAGAAACTGTATATCATTTCATTATCGCTCATTTCTTCTTGAACGGTATTAGCGAGGATTTATATATCCTTTACTATACGTTAACTAAACAAGGTTCATAGTCTTATTTGGTAAACTTTTAAATCGAATCTACAAAACAAATAGACAAATGACAAGAATACATGTAGGTTTCTGATATTCTAGATTGTATTAATGATGACGTATCATATTCAAACACTAAAGAAACATCAACATATGGATACCCTTTCCTTCAATAAAGTCTAGTGAGTAAACTCTAGATCATTCATAGTACTTCCTATTTTCGTTAATTAAAGTTCAATCTCCTGTAAAACAAGAAAGTTTAATGATGATGTAGGTTCTATCACATCTAGCCTTTTATTTTTCTATAAATCCTGAAAAATTCCTATCAGGAAACCAAAAACAACAACAACTACTTATTGACAAATTAAGAACAACCAAATTTAAAATACGATACCCAATTAATCGGCAAATGGTAAGAAATTTATAGAAGATAAATCCCCATATATGTGGAATGTTCTGTAGTTGTTCTACAAATTCTTTCAGAACGCTTAATTAAACTAATATAAAGTTTAATGTTTTGGTCGAACAGTAAATTATGTGCACGATGTTTTCAATTTTTTAAAGTGTGTGTGGCCCTTATTTCTACCAAATTAAAAGAAAGAAGAAAAAAATCACGACTAAAAAAATGCTTGTTGTTTAGAGAAAAAAGCCCTGAGAAAAGAAGGGAACGGGAAGCCAAAAAAATTAACAACCTGTAAATGTTAATGAAAACAGACAAAACGCAAATCCAGTCCAGTCCATTCTCTGACGCCACAACAATCCGGTATAAAATATATCTAACATTTTAGTCGATGTCAGTTAAAATAAATTTTTTGGGTTGGGAGAATGGAGAAAGTATGCAGGACCGAGCGTTGACCGATTCCATTCTCCATAATTATTTGTCACGAAGAAAACAACTCACAAAGAAAATTAAACAACAAGGCGAAGATAAGAGAGGGGGAGAAATAAAGCCAAACAGAGAAAAAAAAAGAAAGAAATAAAGCAGTCTAAAGTTAAACGCGTTTCTATTGGACTCTCTCAAGAAGTTGTGTGCGCATTTGGATCTTCTTTACGGCTTATTCTACGTGATTTTACAGAGCATTGCCGTACCATTTTCTACATTGTCCAAGTAATTTCTTTTTCTTTTTCCGTATTTTTGCGCCCGGTTTTTCTAGTTCTTTTCTGTGTCGCATATTTTGGCTTATTCTAATATCCATATAACGAGAGTATTAGTAGCATCCCACGTTCAGAAGTATTAATAAAAAAACGGAGAGGGATACGCAAATTACAGGCAAGTAGTGTACAGACTAAAAGGACATTAACTTTTATAAATTTGTGAATTTTATAATAATTGTTTTAGCCTCTCGGATGAAATTTCTTAGGAAACCTGAAGGCATGCCGTTTTTTGTCTCAAATACCAAACGATTATTAGGACAAATACGAAATGTCATTGTGCTCTTCATTGAATATTTGGCATAAAATTGAAATGAGAAACGTAGACAAGAAGATGAAAAACACATATTAGAAGAAGGAAAGAAGAGGTTTCAGTTGCCATTTCTTTCGCATCAATCTCCTTTTATAAACCTTTCCTAATTAGGAAGGAACTAACAGAATATGATGTGTTCCCACTTATAACATTCTGGAATGTGAAATCATACGAACCCCTGAGAAATGATAAAATTACATCATTATTATGTCTTTCTTTTAATTCGTCAAATAAAACTTGATCCAGAAATATAAAAAAGAGATTAACAAGAGGAGAGAAGCATAACAAAAGCCATACATTAAGTGAATGCAATAGGAAAAGTTCATATATACTCTATGATTTCGAAAAGTTTTTTACTTACGGAGGCAAACACTACATTAAAAAGAAGTAAAATAGCAATCCATCCATTTGGCATGTATTTTATGGAATTTACAATGTTGTACTAGGTGTTTTCATAAACATTTTGCAAAGCGTTTGGATTAATTTCCCTATTTTCCTAGTAGATGATTTGTAAAATCCGACTATTCCAATCATCTCTTATTATTGGTACGAACAATTGACGTTACAATCATCTCTATTATTAATGTTCTTTTCACATATAATATGACTGAACACTTTGCGTAACTCTATATTCTCTCACCTTTTTGCATAATTTTCTGTCTTAATTCATTTATAGGTGGTGATTAAAGTGAAAGTAAGGAATTAAAAAGGATTGTTTTTTTAAATATGATAATAATCAGTCATAACATCTAAAAAGCTTTTATATTAATGTTCCTCCTCATACCTCCCTTTGAATGAAATTAAATGTTTAAATTAAATTTCATCTAAGTTTTTTTTTCTTGGGTCTCCGGTTCCAAAGTTTAATGTAATAATTAAAAACATAACCATATTGTATCCTCTTTCGTTTAGAAATCGATTGCTATACAATTTAGTAGTTAGTTTATGATATTTGAAAACATGAAAAAAGATATAACCTCATTTCTAATTAATTGTCTTACTGTTCTTGAGCCATTAGCTCTTTCTCGAATGCAGTAAAAGCAGTGCACAAAAAGCTTTTAGAAAAATATGACAGGGTCTGTAGAATAAAATGAGAAATACATTTGTACTATATTTACGGATTAGTACAATTATTTTAAAGTTTTCTTGTTCGAAAATTGTGTATTATATAGGTTATTGTTTCTTATTTCTTATTTCTTGTGTCATTTTTATGGAATAATTTTAAGTTTTCGTAACATAAACATTTTACAACGTCTTCATTTGTTTTGTCATTTTTAATCGAGGTATTTTAATTTATCAATCTGTTGGTCTAATGTCTCTATTAAAAAAATAGTATCATACAACTTCTGTTTGGAAAAGTTGAACCGGTTATTTCACAAGGAGTAGAACAAAAATAAAACCATAGATCCTTACATATTACAATTTAAAATACAGCTGTGACATGTAATTGTTTGAAGCTCCTATTTTTGATCTTGAATATGCCAATTTTTATTTCGCTATGTTGTTTATTGATGAGGTGCACTATTTATTCTTTCCGAGTGGCTATCCTATCAATAGTCAAAAGGAGAACAAAAAAATAGTATTTTTTCTGTTCTCACGCTTTTCTGTGGAAGGTAACATAGAAGAAGCCAATGAACAATACTACAGTTAAATTGAGAGCATTCATACAAATTCTTAACAGAAAAAAAGAAATGTAAATATACTAGTGAGGTATCTCCAATTCTCAAAATAATTGCGCAGACGAAAAAAAATTAAAGATGAAAGAAATGCAGGAGAACAGAAAGAGCATACAGTACAAATTCTACAATTTAATATGTCAAACCAAGATATTGGAGATATTACGTTGATACAAAACACAAGCTAAATAGGGTTCACATTCTTGAAGTCATTAGAGGAGATTTAAAGTTTTTGAAAATGTTTTCATGATTTTAGAGAAAATTATGTAGGACCCACTAGGAACATTCCCGCATATACTTCTTGAACTGCATAAAATATGTAAAACTTCTTTAAGAATTATGGTACGTTTTTTTCTGAACTGAACTGAAGACACTTAAGACCGATACATAGTTATTTCTGTATTATTAATGATGTAAAAAGGACAATAACATGGTATTATTTTCTCTTTTTTGAGGGATTATTGCTGGTTATACTACAAATAACTAATACCTTCCCCTCCCCCCAAAGAGAAAAAATACTCTTATCGAGTTCTAAATTTAAATATACTATTAAACAACAAGAAAGATGGATAACGAAGTTTAAAGTTTTTACTCATTGCGTTTAGACACATAACAATCTTGAAGTAAAATGGTCTTAAACACAGAAGGTTTATAAATATTATTTTTCGCTTGCTGGCCACCTAGACATTAGAATGAACAAAATGTGGTTGTAGACGAAACCAAAATATTTAATGCTTCCAGTAAGTTCGAAAATATTTTCGTAGTGCTGTTTACCAGCAAAATTGAATGGAAACCAATGCATTAGAATGATAAACAACTACTACACAAAAAAAGGGAGGCAATTTTGACCTATGTTATTATCTCGTGTGCATACGAATCATCCATTCCCTTCCTTCTTTCTCACCTTTAGCTGTTTCTCCCCTTTCTCTCTCTTACTTGTCCAGCGATAAACAAGAAGAGAAAGGTAAGAACTTCCCACTTCAAACAAGGCAGAACATGATTATGCCTTTATAGAACTGGAAACAAATTAGAAACAAAGAGGAAACATTTATGCAGAGGCGATTCCTCTAGCCTCACTCTCAATGGAGAACCTCAATAATCACTGTGAAATTATCGTAAGAATAAACATTTGATAGTAAAACCCAGTTTTGCAATCGATTTCTCAGCAACGTAGTTAATATCACTATTAACGACAATTTATTTTGAAATGATTGTTTAACGCTCCCTCCTCTGGAAGGCTAATTTTCAGGAAGATTGGAAAACCAGATTAGTCAAACCAGATTTACAGGGAGACTATAGAAGAGTAGACAGTAACGAGTTTACTCCAAATCATCAAGTAAACTGTCCAAGTATACACCAAATTTTGCAACCAAATAAAAATGGAACAAGGTTTACCAAATTCCACTGAGAAGGATAATGTATGTTAACTGTAATATAAGTTGACTTCTTTCGGTTTCAGCTACACTAACACTTATTTCGTATAGTTAAACAAACATTGATGTGAATTGTTAAATTGACTATCTGCAATCCCTCGATATTTTTTATGAACCATCATTACTAACATAAACTACACCATTTTTATATCCAGCAGACTCTAAACACTACGAATGAGCCAATTATCTCATCAAACCTAATCACAGATGATATTACAACATCTACTAATAGTAATACTTCTAAAATTGCACCTCAAAAAGATATTACAATGCAAGAAAATAAACCTCGTCATCATGTAACGGTATGTATTCAATTCCCTTTACTAGTGAACTATTTATTTAACAGTCATAAATTCAACAGAAAAACAAATACTAACTTCATTTTGTATTTAACCTTTATAGAACTCCTCTTTCAGAATGTATTAAAACAGATATGATAAAATTCGTTTATCATTTCTATTCCAATATAACACTTGAAAGATGGCGATAGTTCTATAAAGTTTTAAAACCTTTCCTTTTATCTCCAACAGAGATACCGTAATAGAGATCAAAGAAACACACTTGAATCGCATTTTATTCAAAAAGTACCATCCCCACCTAAAATAAGAGTCAAGATTGATAAAATTCCACTCGATGTCTCTGATTATATGATCGAAGATTGGATTAACGAATTTGAACAACCAATATTTCTTAAATTTTATGATACAAAAGAATACAGAACTTGTATTTTTGAATTAAAAGATTTATCAAAAATGAACGAGTTTGTCTCAAAGTATAATAATTTCCAAGTACGCGAATCTGAGAATATTACCGCTGAGATAACTGAGATCCGTAGCAAAAACAAAGGACATCATCAGAGCAGATTTATTCTAAAAGATACCACAGGTGGAGATCGTGACTCTGGAAGAAGGAGAAGAGGGAATGATAGAGGATCGATGGGCAGCCACTACAATGATTCGAAAAAATCTCAAAAGAAAAACGCAGCTGAAAAACCAAAAAGTGTCGAACAACTAGATGCTGAATTAGACGCTTACATGAATAGTTAAGAAAACCGTTTATATAAAATACAAATAAGAAAGTTTATAGCATCATGTAACAGTAACATTACATAGACCAATGGTTGAATATTCTTTCACTTATATTGATGTGTGTAATAATCGTTAAGTACCTCTCAACGACATAGAGTTTGACATTTGATTTTTTTGTTGCTTTAAGTCACCCCCCTGCAGAAGTTGACGTAGCGAACGCTGAGATTAAATAAACAAATAAAAGATCGGATTCTGAATCCAAATTATTTCGCATTATTTTGGAGTAGATTATTTAATAAAATCAATCATTATTCATCTTCGCCAGAGTCAACCCATAAAACTCAGCTGTAACTTTTTTGACTGTACTAAGTTAATACTTTTTAAAAGACATATTTATTCATCATCTAAAGTCTATCCAAATACATATAAACATTTCTAGTTATGGAACAAACAAATAAACGATATAGAATTGCAATAGATCGTGGTGGTACATTCACAGATGTTATTGCCAATAAAGGTAGCGGGAAACCAGAAGATGATCTGGTATTTAAGTTATTATCTGTAGATCCCAAAAATTATAATGATGCACCATTAGAGGGTATCAGACGTGTGCTAGAGGTCTTTGAAAATAGAAAAATAACTCGTGGTGAGGTGCTAGACATTTCAAACGTCGCAAGTATCCGTATGGGAACAACGTTGGCCACGAATTGTGCACTTGAAAGAAACGGTGAACCTTGTGCTTTCATTACTACAAAGGGTTTCAAAGATTCTCTATTAATCGGAGATCAGACAAGACCAAAAATTTTCGATCTAAATATCAAGAAAGCTGAACCATTATATGAGACAGTTGTTGAAATTGACGAAAGAGTTACATTAGAAGATTATTCTGAACAGTCACCATTTAGTAAAAGTAGTCCAAATGTGAAAGAATTTACATATGAAGGAAAAAGTGGGGAAATTGTTAGAGTGATAAAGGTCCCAAATGAAATCGAGATTAAGAAGGTTCTAAACGGTATTTTAAGAAAGGGTATCAACTCAGTTGCAATCGCATTTATGCATTCATACACATACCCATTTCACGAACAAATGGTGGCGAACATTGCTGAAGAATTGGGTTTTACACATATTTCTTTATCCTCTGAGGTTTCTCCAATGATTAAATTTTTACCCAGAGCCCATAGTTCTGTGGCCGATGCTTATTTGACACCAGTGATCAAAAAATATTTAGACAGTATTTCTCAAGGCCTCAAAAATGGCTCTAAGACAAGTATACAATTTATGCAATCTGATGGTGGTTTGGTAGAAGGATCTAAATTTTCTGGATTGCGGTCGATTCTTTCAGGTCCAGCCGGAGGGGTTGTTGGTTATTCGAGAACATGTTTCGATGAAGTGAACAACACACCATTAATAGGGTTTGATATGGGTGGGACCTCCACAGATATTAGTAGATACGGTGACGGTAAGCTTGAACATATTTTTGAAACCAAAACTGCTGGTATTATAATCCAATCTCCCCAACTAGATATCAATACGGTCGCAGCTGGCGGTAGTTCTATTTTAACATGGGAAAATGGGTTATTCAAAGTCGGCCCCAACTCTGCTACAGCTGATCCTGGACCTGCGTGTTACAGAAAGGGAGGTCCATTAACAATAACTGATGCCAATCTGTTTCTAGGGAGATTAGTTCCTCAATTATTCCCTCACATTTTTGGACCTAACGAAGATGAACCTCTTGACTTAAATGCTACTACTAAAAAATTTATAGAGCTAACTCACATTATCAACAAAGACCTGAACTCTAATCTGTCAGCGCAAGAGGTTGCATGTGGATTTTTAGAAGTTGCAAACGAAGGGATTGCACGTCCTATTAGAGCTTTAACTGAGGCTAAAGGTTTTAGTGTTTCCAAACATACCCTTGTTTCATTTGGTGGTGCCGGTGGACAACATGCTGTTCCGGTTGCAAACTCACTCGGAATAGATACTGTAATTATCCATAGATATTCTTCCATTTTATCTGCGTATGGTATATATCTAGCTGATGTTGTAGAGGACCATCAAGAACCATGCTCCTTAATATTGAATAACGATGGTACTATATGCCAAATTGGACAAATCTTTAAGAAACTAACTGCAAAGTCTATCTCTGAGCTTAAAAAAGTGGGATTCTCCAACGAAAACATCATGGTAGAGAGATATTTGAATTTGAGATATGAGGGTACAGAGACTGCGTTGATGATTCATCAAAATGGCACTAAATGGAATTTCGAAGAAGCATTCATAGAAAACCATAAGAGAGAGTTTGGGTTTATCTTTGTAAATAAGAATATTATTGTCGATGATATTCGTGTCAGATGTATTGGAAAATCCAATATTAATTTACAGGAATCAATTACCCAACAATTAAAAGATCTGACCCACAATGAATTAATAACCCCCAATAAATGTTGTAGTTTCCAACAAGATGTTTATTTCAAGGATAAATATATTAAAACACCGATATACGTTATCAATGAAATGATACCTGGCTCAACAATTAGGGGTCCTGCAATATTAGCAGATAATACACAAACCAATATTATCCCTGATAATGCAGAAGCAGTGGTTTTGAAGTCACATATTGTGGTTAGAGTGTTGAACAAATCTATCGTATCAGAGAAGAATGATGGTAAATATATTGACCCAATCCTGTTATCCATTTTTGGTCACAGGTTTATGGATATTGCGGAACAAATGGGTACACAGTTAAGAAAGACGTCTGTATCAACAAATGTTAAGGAGAGGTTGGATTTTTCATGTGCTTTGTTTGATCCAGAGGGTAATCTGGTGGCTAATGCACCTCATGTGCCTGTTCATCTTGGTTCAATGTCAACATGTATCATTGCACAGGCAAAATTATGGAAAGGTAAACTAAAGCGTGGAAGTGTCTTATTTACCAATCATCCAGATGTTGGTGGTACCCACTTACCTGATATTACTGTAATAACTCCTGCATTTTCAGATGAAGACGAAATTTTATTCTATGTTGCATCCAGGGCACATCATGCCGATATTGGCGGTATTTTACCAGGCTCAGTCCCCCCAGATTCTAAAGAGCTCTATGAAGAAGGTGCTGCTATTTATTCAGAATTCTTGGTCAAAGATGGAATATTCCAAGAGCAGTTAGTCTATGATCTATTTGTTACGAAACCCGCTCAATATCCCGGTTGTTCAGGTGCAAGAAGAATATCGGACAATATTAGTGATTTAAAAGCACAAGTAGCAGCAAATACTAAGGGTATTCAGTTGATCAATTCTTTAGTTGAAGAATATAAATATCCAATGATTCTAAAATATATGAACGCAATTCAAATGAATGCGTCCAGTACGATTAAAAAGATGTTAAGCAAGCTTGTCAAGCATTTTGGGACTTCCAAATTTTCTGGATATGACTATATGGATGACGGTTCCAGAATTACTTTAAACGTTGAATTGAATATTGAAAAGGAAGAGTATACCTTTGACTTCACAGGTACATCCCCACAAATTTATGGTAACACCAATGCACCAAAGGCAATTACTAACTCCGCTATTCTTTACTCTTTAAGATGCCTAGTTGGGGAAGAAATACCTTTAAACCAAGGTTGTTTGAGTCCAATTACTATAATTATCCCTGAAGGTTCCTTATTAAGTCCATGTAATGGGGTTGCTGTTGTTGGGGGTAATGTTCTAACTTCCCAACGTGTCACGGACGTGATTTTAAAGACCTTAAACATTCAAGCTGACTCACAGGGTGATTGTAACAATTTTACGTTCGGTACAGGTAGTATCATCGATCAAATGACTGGTAAGAAATATGAAGGGTTCGGTTACTATGAGACAATTTGTGGTGGTTCTGGAGCTGGTTGTGATTCATGGAGAGGACCTGGCTGGAATGGAACTAGTGCTGTTCATACTAATATGACCAACACACGTATGACAGATACAGAGGTTCTTGAGAGACGATATCCTGTAATTCTAAGACAGTTTTGTATTCGTGCTGATTCTGGTGGTCAAGGTAAATATTCTGGTGGTAACGGTGTCATAAGAGATGTTGAGTTCCGATTACCTATGAAGGCATCTGTTTTATCAGAGAGACGTGTCACGGTACCTCATGGCCTAGAGGGGGGTGAGGATGGTCAAAGGGGAGAAAATACATGGTTTAGAAGTGATACTAATGCCATGATTAACATCACCGGTAAGAATACAATCAATGTCAATATCGGTGATAGAGTGATAATCAAAACTCCAGGAGGTGGCGGATTCGGTAAGAATTAATAATTTATACATAATAATGATATACACAACAGAACTTAATGAAAACGAATAATTTTTATATCTTTATAATTGAATAAAATTCTCATATTACTTAATTGAACAAAAAAAAACTATTGTTCTAATTGAATTTTGTTCTTCTATCAAGATTAGATAAGATGTTTCTAATTGATGGTAGAATACAAGATAGAAAAATTAGTATATCAAGAATTTATTGTACGTCCTATGCTTGACTCCAGTTCTTGTAATACTATGCTATAATTGAATTTACGAGGTTAACAAAACAATATATAACTTATTCCAAAATATTTTCCAAAGCCTCTAAACTGCATATTTATTAATGATCCTGAATAATTATTATCACTACTTCTCGGCCGAGAAAATCTTAGTATCAAATGGTCATCGCGGCCACAAACTGCATCAAACAAATTCGAGATTTTGCTAGTGAAGCGCATAACTCTTGAAAAGTATGCTATTAAAGTACAAATTACTGGACATGGTATTCAATAACGTCATTATTAAACAAAACAAAATGTCTGCTCTGCTTTTGATTTTGGGTGACTTTCAACAAGGATACATTGCTATTAGTATGGGAGCCTATAACGTTTATGTGAGGTAAACAGTATTTTGCTCTGTGTGGTCGAACGATTATCGAGCACGTTGTACAAATAGTCATCCTATTAGGGGACACTCACAGCGATGACTTTAATAAATAAAAAGAAGTTCTTATTCATTGCGAATGAATGAACTCAACAATAGAAATAAGTACGTAAAATATTCCAATGATGGGAATGAAATTTTTGCATTTGTCTGAGAAACCTTTGTCAAATAATACATTTGTATATATTTTTCATCCTATATAAACCAAGGTTTATTTTCTTATCTTATCCACAATTCACCTTCTCTAGTATCTTTCTTTTCTGGTATATTGCAATAGTTCACCACATCTAAGTATTTTTTACTGATTTCATACAACAATAACTCCATTTTACAATTTAGATATGTCTACTACTCAAACTGCTACCGAAACTGCACAATTATCTCTAACCGGTGGTGCTATCCGTCATGCGTTGTCTGATGTTGTCAAGACTGATGACTGGTCTGACTTCAAATTCACTCCAATTCGTGAATCTACAGTTTCCAGGGCCATGACCTCTCGTTACTTCAAGGACATGGACAAATATGCTGTTGCCGATGTTGTCATCATTGGTGCTGGTTCTTCTGGTCTATCTGCTGCGTACGTCATTTGTAAGAACAGACCAGACTTAAAGGTAGTCTGTATTGAATCTAACGTTTCTCCAGGTGGTGGTGCTTGGTTAGGAGGTCAATTGTTCTCCGCTATGATCATGAGAAAACCCGCTCACTTATTCCTAGACGAAGTCAATGTTCCATACGAAGACGAAGGTGACTACGTAGTCGTAAAGCATGCTGCTCTATTCACCTCTACTGTTCTATCAGAAGTTCTAAAGTTCCCTAACTTCAAATTGTTTAATGCTACTGCTGTTGAAGATTTAGTCACCAGACCAGCTGGTAACAACGGTGAAGTTACAGCTGCCGGTGTTGTCACTAACTGGACTCTAGTCACCATGAACCACGACACACAATCATGTATGGATCCAAATGTTATTGAATTAGCTGGTTATCAAGACGATGGTTCCCGTGATACTTCTGCCAAACACGGTGTCATTCTATCTACCACTGGCCATGATGGCCCATTCGGTGCTTTCACTGCTAAGAGAATTGTTCAAATCGATGGTAACCAAACCGTTGCCGGTATGAAGGGTCTCGACATGAACCACGCCGAAGCTGCAGTTGTTAAAATGTCTGGTGAATACAAAGGTGTCGGTAATGTTTACTTTGCAGGTATGGAAAGTGCCACTCTACATGGTCTAAACAGAATGGGTCCAACTTTCGGTGCTATGGCTGTTTCTGGTATCAAGGCTGCCGATGAAATTCTAAAGCATTTTGCTGCTTAATTTTATCTAGAAAAATAATCCAAAATAAATGTTAAAAACATTTTTATTTTTTGCTTTCTTTCTATAATTTAGGCTTCTTACAAGCGATGGTCTATATAAATATACGTTTCATGGTTATAAATTAACACATGTCTTTTTAAAAACAGTAAAAACGTCATAATTTAGGGTGTTTGTAGTAATAAAGTTGGAGAAAAATTGATGTGTTCTACTTAATGTTATGTGATATGATAGGTTTGTGATTTACTCATTCCTGGATTAGCATATTTTTCTTTTAGTAATATAATTTTTTACAAGAAGTTTTTTGATAGGAGACAGAAACTGTATTATGAAAATTGTCGTACTGCTATTTCTTACCATTAAGGGATGATCTTGTTTTGATAGGAAACATCGTAACATAACCTTACTCATCTTCTCCAATGCCGATATTGTAAAAATTATATATATATATCAAGGGATGTTTGATGACTTTTCTAGTGGAAATCTTACCTTCTTTCACAACCAATCTGTAACTAGAATGTAATTTAAATTACAATAACTTCGCAATTTAATATATTAAAATGATCTCAAATAAGATGATACCTTATACTCACGATAAATTTATCAGACCCGTGGTAGCTGAATGTTTGATAAAATATTTCAACCTAGATATCGAAATGATGGAGACCACAAATGATATCGACCGATTTTTAACTAACTTTCCAGTAAAAAGAGTTCCTGGTCTTTTATTTGAGGATGGGTCGTTCCTTTTTGAACAGATGGCTGTCGTGAATTATATCATACATCAGGGTGGAAATCAGGGTGAGGTAGCACAATTGTTAGGATCCGATAATGACTACTTAGTTCAAAGTCAATTCATTATGATATGTTCATTCTGTACTTAAGATTTCTTTAACACATTAGTGTTAAGTTGTTTAAGTGAAATCAAACTGTCTCGCCTAAGTGACAAAACAGCTTCAACTGCAAATAAAAACTAGAAGCTATGTATCCAATGTTTGAAAAAAAGTTGACCATCCATAAATTTTCAACAGGTGACTATATTACTTTATCTGATTTAATTGCAGCTGCTACCTTTTCAACAGGGGTTTAAATCTGTATTTGGTCCCGAATGGAAAGCAAAACACCCTCTAATAGTTAATTGGTTCTCGAAAGTCATCAATTGTAAATATCTGGAGTACAGATTCAAGAACTTCGAATTTACTGAGAATGCACACAAGATATCTCACCGTAAATTACCATGGGATTAATAAATAATTTGGAGTTTATATCAACAATAGAAATTATTATCTGTATACGAAACATAATCAATTACATATATTATATTTTCTTCTACGGTTTTAATAATGATATAACACCTGTCATTGTACAGCACAAATGTTTCATTTAAATATCCCTATTTGGGCAACTATATTTAATTTTAGATGCTTAATTGAAAGGCACAGTTCCATACTAATAGTGGTATTAATCGACTGGCAGTTATCTTCTATGTTGAACTCATTGAAGGAAATATTGATTCTTTCAATGATAAGAATCAAAAAACACAACTTCTTAGATAATTTGGGTGTTAAAATTTATCCATGTCATCTAATTGGAAAATAACAACTGAATAGGAGATACGATTTTCACAGATACATAAACATGCATCTTAACTTCCATTTTTACTGGATGTTGCAATTCAACTATAGTAAATATTAGAAAGTATAAATATAATACTGGCGGTTTTACTTCATTGATAGCTTAAAAATATCCAACATTCCATCGCAACTGACGCTCCAAATTCCTTATATGACGGCCCCCTATAATACCTAACTGAATAAAAAAAAGGGAATCGAAGAACATAAAACTATATCCGTATAAGATAAACAACAGAATTTCAATATTACTTGCTTACAGTCATTATCTTTAAAACTGTTAGCATTTGGCTCCGCCGAGAGGAATAATCTTAAACTGGTACACATTAAAACTTAAGGAAATATCGCTTTTTGAATGCTTCTGTGATGTATTTCATTAACACAACCACTAAGTATATTTCAATATTGACAAACAAACATACTAATATAGTATTTGCCTTATGCTCTTAACAAATGAATATTTGCATATATGTTTTGAAGAGAACTTTTCCTAAGATATTCGTGGTTGATGAAAATTATCTCAAAATTGAGATATATAGAAGGCCCTGTAAGGTTGAAAATGATAAACTTCCTTGTGATTTACTTATAGATGGACTCGAGATGCAACATGGAACGGAATCACAGATAATACAATGAGTTGGATAGAATAATCATGGAGATGAGAATAAAAATACTAATAACAATGAAATTTACTACAAAAGAGAATCCCGAATCACGCGAGTAATAACATTAGATACATATGTTAACTAGGATACATATTATAAATGCAGAATCCATATTAATGTATACGAGTACACTTGTAGTAAAGCATTAAGCACATATAAAATCTGAACAACGTGTATATATTACACACAATTAATACATAATATGGGCTTGTCCATCCATCGAAATATTTTATAGCAATCAATCTCGGATTTGCAATACCTTTTTTATGAATTCAGA